TTATCATATCTCCGTCCATCACGCAAGTACTACCTTAACCAAATCAAAGTCTGCAAGTTGCTCCATTATATACAATAAACAGCAAAATCAATCGTCAAATTCTTGAAAAAAGTGTCGCGACACTGACGCACAACGTGATTGGTAGATGACTGACAAACGTTTCTCTAACTTGGCAATAACTAGTGCATTATTATTTAAGACATTTAGACCCCCGTCTAGAAAAAGTAACACATTCGTGCTAAAAAGTCAGGAGGGGCTTTCAAAGTAATAGTACCGTAATTTTTAGATACACTGTTTATAATTATATAGATAGTGTATCTCAGTGGCTGAAATTTTTGATAGCTTCAGATAACTGACAATATTAAGATTTCCATATGATTTGATTGATCAAATTAACGTTTTCACCTGGCTGTTTTGTATTGTTTCTTACTGGCTAACTTTGTACTTTATCGGGAAAAGTTGCACCATATACCAGTACCCAAATAAGAGGAACTCACAGTGCAGCAAACGCCCCGAGACCCATCCATAGGACCTGAAGCAAATAGAAAAAGATGTATAATGTGCCACACTAAAAATAATAAAATTGGTAGAATATTTTTGAAATAATTCACTTTAAGTTTGAAGGTTTCGAGTCAGGGGCGTACCCATTGGGCAGCTACACCCCCTTTTTCATAGCACAACAAAAATTAAATGAGAAGCTTTTCAAAAATTAAATTATTCATGTACAGGATTCTCTTCAAGATAACTCAATATCTATTAGATGAGAAATTACTAGGATACTATACCGGGTGTCAACGAAATCGTTTTACAAGGCACTATTCGATTGCTGTTTAAAGAAGAACCTTGACATTTCGTGAGTAGATGTGACTTATAAAAACTCAGATTATCTATTAAAAAACAACTGAATTGTGTTTCCGGTTTGATTGGAAGTGAGTTTGAAACAAGAATTTCAAATAGGGCCCTGTATATATTTTTACATATTTGCATAGCGCTTAAAATTTCCTTTTCAATGATATATCACAAGTTGTCATTCTTTTTCAAATTCAATATGACGGCATTTTGACTGTATCTCTGGATTTTTTGCCAAACTACCCGCTAATTTAAGATGCCCAAAGGATTCTTTTGCCGCTTCTACAATGAGTTGGCAAAACAAAAAAATTGTCATAAATTTGGGACCATTTTTTTTTACTTAAAATGTCAAAAAGTAAAATTTTCTCAGAATGTCGAATAGAAAACGGAGCTTTCTAAATGCTAACAATGAAGAGCGTCTTATTTCCGAAACAAAAATCCTCAACAGTACGTTTCTGTTATGTTATTCACTACAAAGGCTTTAACTTTTGGCTACTATTTCACATTTGCTCTTATGCACTTTTCGCAAAAAATGATAGAGTTTTTGCAATAACCAATTAATCGTTGTAACAAACTTGACATACCCCTTAGTTCTCATTTTCAAGACGTTTTCATCCCCTTCCCAGTTGTTCTGTAGACTTATTAATTTGAAGTTTGATAAAAATGTTACCAAGAATTTTTTATTTGGAGATAAGATAAAAAATATATAAATCCTTCTGTACAATTTCTTCTTTAACAAGGTTCACATTTGGCTAGTTAACCTGAGCAAATAACTTTTGTGACGTTTATAGATACCATATTCCAACAGTAGCTTCCCGATTTTCAACGCAAGATTCCACTCCACATATTTTCGAATTATACGTAAAAAAATAGGTATATAGAGTTTGCAGTATAGCAAACATTTGTCATATATTATCTCAAGTATTGCTTTCAAGTATTGTAAACGACTAAATTATTACTGAAAAACGCATCTCGCGCAATATGTGCTTGACTGTTTCGAAAAACTAATCCAAGTGCAAAATAAATCATCGTGGACGACTCTATATAAATGTATAAAACAACGAAATGCAAATAGAAAAAAAAATATCAATCATGGTTAAGTACATACGATTTGTGAGATATATTAATTTTCTAAGATTCTAGCTTCTCCTAAAACTTACGTCACTGCCAACCGCCAGTCTCCATCCATGCGATCTGAAACAAAAACAGAAAACTGCATAAGACCCCCTATAATATATAATAATAATGTATTTCTATGCATACGAAAACCACAGGATAACTTCCAGGAGTGACTTGCCCTAAAAATGACAGTTATCCAATACACGTTGAAACATGATTTTTTAAATCTTAACCCGTCCAAATTTAAAAATGATTTCTCTACGGCCAACATTTATTAGCTAATCCGAATTAAAAAATTGTAGGTCCAAAATGAATTCTAAAAACCAATTCTTGCCTCCATCAACAGTGCGTCGAAAATAATGCGAGACAGCGAGACCTTTCATTGTGGGCGTTGTGTTTCCGGGTATTGCTATACATATTTCTAAAAATGTTTGACCTCAAACCGCACGCCCATGTCAAGTGACAAAAGCATGGTTGTCATATCACATAACAAAAAAATCTTCAAGACGACGAGATGAGACAAAACCAAAAAACGTATGTAGCTTTCAAAACAAACATCCGTACCTAGAAGTAGATTAAAGTGCATGTGTGAGGTGGTGAAACAGATATGAAACTGATACTGGTAGTTTTACTTTGTCCCGCCTAAGGCGGTGAAAAGACAAATCGACGGACACACTAACAGACAAATAGTCTACCAAACTGGCAACCAGACAGACGAACCGACAGAAGGAGGTATCTATTTACAAAAATTACTCTGTTCACTTACCCTCAGCTTCGCACGCCCCTGAGCAACACGTGATCACACCTGCTTATGTACCTTAATCCGGTCCTGAGTGATAGGAAACAAAAATAATACTATTAAAATCAGAAACTACCTCAATAAATGATTTCAAAAAATATGGAGAATTGAAGCTATACGTGAATATCTTCAGAGTTTGTATACTTCATATTAAATCTAAGTACTAATATCAACCTAAGATTTGGCTTTATAACCACTTAAAACCGGTTCAAAAACTTCTGTGGTAGATGAAGATAACATTCAACAATGAACTCGAGCTCATTTTAAATATTTGAATTTGTGTTTCATTCAATTCTATTTTCATTTTCTAGGCTACAATCCTCTATATCCAGACACCTCAAATATTTTATATTGCTACAAATTGAATACAGAAGAATATTGGAAACTTACCATAGCGCACATATAACTCCAAATGAATCAAACAGTTTTTCGTATCAGTTTATCACGTCGGAAAACCAGAACACCACGACAACTAAACCACTAATACTCTCACAAGCGTTCGACCTATCAATATTGGTCAATACTATTGAATTACTGCGTTTTTTACAAAAAAAATAGCTCCCGAATCCGCGAAGCGTCCAGTTACCTAAAAGACAAGCACCGATAACAGCAAAAACCGGTAAAAACTATTGAAGACACGTTGACCACCTCTCCTGCCAGGGTGATTGCTCATTGGTTCAGCAGCCGCGGCGAATTTTTCGCTTCCAAGAAAAATGTCTAGGCCCAACAGAAATAATCACAAATAAGTTTATCCTCATATGATATAGTTTGATTTGTTCTCAACATTTTGTTACGGAAATACAGCGCTTGGACAAGTTTTTAGGACACTTTATTTAATTCCCTAGCAAATTTTATGGAATATACGCACTTTTGTTTTTATTTATACCTAGAAGTAGGGCACATTTTTTCCTGGATTCCATACTCCAGGTATAGCACACGTCTAAAAAATGCGCGTTCTACACCTATATAGACCATAATCGCTATTCAAGATGTATATTATAAAATAATGTTTTGATTTAGCATTTAGAAGAGATCCTCAAATTATTGGCGATGACCAGTGGCGTGCATTATTTTTCCATCTGCAATTTAAATAGAGACGGCACCAGAGATACATAAAATGAGATAATTAAGTAAAACATCATCGAAACCGCCTGAAATGTTGAATCTTTAGTTTCATATATACATCTCTAATGCAAAAAGTCCAGTTGACTGTTTTTTTAGACTGCTTGTTTGTAAAATTAAAGAAACGTTTGACTGTAGCATACTTTCTAGCTCACGATATCAAGGTAGCAGTTATGTTCCGTCCATTTGATTATAAAGAATTTCAACTATGCATAAAAAGGTGGATAACTCCAGTCCGAAATGGACTTGGATTAGAGTCTCCAGTTCTAGCTGTGCTTTACATGATTACCTTACTAATCCTTTTGAACAATATAAATGTCCCAAATACAGAAGCGGTATCTGTAGCTTAACACGAAACCGAGAAAAGGCCATTCAAAGTATGAGTCTTTGATTCATTTGTGCAAATACGCCAAACAAAGAGGTGGGATTTTAAATAAAAATATTGTACTTCATGCCCGAAAAACTTTCCCTATTAGTAGAGAAAATGACACTGATGCAGTATGTATCAATAAACAAATATGTTATGCCCGAAAATTATATATCTCATCTCCAATGTGCTTACAATGGAAGTAGTATGTAGCTGCGAAACATCTGTGTGTTTGCTGAATAGAAAATCTTGCAAAATTTTAACGATTCTCGAATTTACAACCATTTTATGTGTTATGTTGAAAAAATGGTGTCAAGCAAGTTGATTCTGAATTTCTCACGCATTGTCATCAATTAGATTATCTTCGGCTTATTACAAAAAAAACATATGTGTTACGAAGGAGGCCAGAGGTGAGGGAGATACGCTGGTCTGGCGACCCGGTAGGTCACAAGCTTCTTAGTAATAGAGAGTCGTTTCAGACAGACGGATGGAAATGAGTGACATGGTTTTGCGTGATATACCTGTCACGTAATATTCAAAAAAGTTAATCCAACAATGTGTGGTTTATAGTTTTCGAAATTTCTTGGGATTAGAATATTTCCTCGCCAATTGGCATGGAAAGTAAAATTCTATCAAATATTGCGTGTGCATGCTTTTGCGATGTACCTACCTGCTTTCTAGAAGAATTACCACTATTTTTTAAACTTCTTGAATATCGTGCAATTTTTCCAATTTCGTTTTCAGAAAATGGTTCCTCCGCATATCACTCAAAATCCTCCTCGACAGACAGACAGTCGCACACACCATGGCATGCCCAAATCGTCAGAGCAATGTACGCCTACCTGTCCAGTGGAGAAAACCAGCTGAGTTTCCATGAAGGAGACCTCGTAGCGTTGATAGGAGAAAGGAACAAGGGGTGGCAGTTTGGCGAAAACCTGAGGACGCAGTGCACGGGATGGTTCCCATTGGCTTATACAGAAATAATGAACGAACCGATTTTGTAAGTTGCTTTAATTCGAAAATCACCATGTAAGAAAAAGTTCGCAAAAATACTTACTTAATTGTCTTCAATAATAATAATAATAATAATAATAATATTTATTCACTCAATGTACAAAGATAACAAACAATATGAGTAAATAAATATAAAATCAAAACAGGCCCAATAGAAGGCATCGCCTGTACATGGACCAATAATTTAAGTTGAAACTGTAGAATGCAAATGACAAAAAAGGACAAAAATTAGCTACAGTAGATTATGTATTTAGTTGATGTTCGTATTTATGAGTTTATGAATTTCAGTCCTAGATATAGAATGTAGCCACTTTTTTAAATTTCTTTTGAAACAATTTCCGAAACGTAAATCTTTTAAGTCTTTAGGTATAATTTCATAAAATTTAGGCGCTAAATAGAGATATGATCGCTGCATTATAGATTTATGCGGTTGAGGAACTACTGTGCCACGAATTTTGTACCTGGTATAATGATTATGTTTAATTTTTTGGTCGGTGTCTACAAATTTATGGTAGTGAGTGACACTGTGTAAGAAATAAAGCTGTCTTATATCATGCATTCGAACATCTGCGTATAATTTTTCAGTGGGATAAAGTTTCGGTTTTTTAAATATCATTTTTAGAATACTTTTTTGAAAAACATCTAAATTATAGATATGTGAGGAACATGCAGCTCCCCATGCTAATATACCATATGTGAGATGAGGCTCAATCAGTGCAAGGTATAATGTTCGAAGATATTTTTCTGTCAATATATTCCCAAGGTATTTAATTTTGTAGGATACAAATCTAACTTTCTTTAAAATATAATTGACATGGATGTCCCATCGTAAGTGAGGATCCAAGACCACTCCAAGGTATTTTATGGTGGGCACTCTATTGATTTGCATTTTTTGATCATTAATATTGAAGGAGAAATTTGTGTAATTTGGCAGATGTCTAGCATAAGATCCAAATGGTAAAAAATGTGTTTTAGAGTAGTTAATGCTTAATTTTCTACTGTTAAACCACCGAATAATTTTGAAAAAATCATTTTCAATTACATTTTTCAGATCAGACCAGTCAGTGCCTTCATATAATATTGCAGTATCATCTGCAAAACTAGTTATTTTGCCAACACAATTAATTTGGAAAATGTCATTTAAATATATATTGAATAACAGCGGACCTAAGTTCCTTGTGGGACACCACACTTAATATACATTTCTTTACTAAATGATCCTGATATCTGCACAGATTGTGGGCGATTTGACAAATAACTTTCGATCAGTGAGTACGCGTTACCTCTGAAACCAATTCTCTCCAATGCTTCTAATAATAATTTGTGATTAACTGTGTCGAAAGCTTTCTTTAGATCAACAAAAATGCAGATTGAAGGGATTCTGTTATCAATATTTTGATGTATTTGATTTACAATTTTAGTTATTGCGTCCGATGTAGCCTTCCCTTCTGTAAATCCATATTGATTTTCACTTAAAATTTTGAATTTTGTGAGGTATCGAATCATTCTAGTAGATAAAACTTTTTCAAAAACCTTTGCTACACTGGATATTATTGATATAGGTCTATAGTTGTTAATATCTGTTTTTGTTCCTGATTTATGTATCGGTATTATACTACCTTTTTTAAAATTGAGGGATATATGTATGCCAGATTCAAAGCATTTAATACATTAACAAATAAGCAACGAGATTCAAAACCGGTTTTTCGGTAAAACTCATTTAGTCCAGGCGATTTGTGCTCATAAAAGTGGTTGTCTGGAAAGTTTTGGGGGAGTCTATAGATTTTTATGTGCTCTTTCAGGTTTTTTACTTTGCTACGTCATATAGTGATTTTCAAAAAGCCCACTTCTTATTTTTCGAAGGGGTCATTTTGGAATTTTTTGTAAACGGATTGAGGGGTCGTGTGATACCCCATTTGAAACTCCTTATGAGTGTTTTTTAAGTCTAGAAAATAAAATCACTATCTTTTAAAATGGCGATCTAGCAGACTGTCACAGTTGGGCGTTTTTGTCCATAACTCAACAACCGATCAGCATATGTTATATCGATTTTCTCCTCTTGGAATATGTAATACAATATGGAACATTCCATTAGAAAAAAGTCACAATCTGCCAATTTTTTTTAACGAAATGCCTCATGTTTTATTGCATATCCAAATAGACCCTTCGAAAAAAGAAGATTAGTATAACATTCTATAGCGTTTTGACGATTGGTTGTTGAGTTATGATCGACTCAATGTACAAAAATATGTAGTGAGGTCGGGGAACCTTTCTCAAAAGCACTGTATATATTCTCCGCTCGAGTCGCCATATTGGAGAAAGCGCACCCCAAAGCAGTGTTTTAAAATATCTTCATTATGACTTATTTTTTGATGAAAATAGCTATTTGATAAATTCAACGAGAAAACTTCCTACATACAATTTATGTTTAGCGTTTTATGTATGATAAGATACGGGAATTCTTCCAGTGATTTAATAATTTGGTACTTTTATGTTTTCTGTATTTTTACTTTGCAGTACATCTTTTCTTTATCTTTGCCGCTAGTATTGTACATATAGATATACCCGGTGTTTCAAATTCGAAGCTCACATTAGGATCTCGGATACGCAGTCCCTTAAATAGGGGCAAAGTTGTGTATTTAGGTAAATAACAAAATCCCGCATAGAAAGTTTCGAAAGTCAACGTGCGTCTGGAGAGAGGCGGAAAAAACGAAGTTTCCAAAAATCTTTTTATTTTTTCCTGACTTTATTTGTAATGTGATTTCAAAACAAAGTGCACATTAACACTGCCACTTTTTGTCTTCTACAAGATGGCATAAAAATAAGTTCAATATGACGTTTAGTCTCTTGTCCTCCAGCTTCAACTTTACTTTTTCTTAGGGATGCCATATTGGATTGTTTCACAGGCGAATAGAATTTTTAATTCTGAATCCAAAAATGTATAACGTGACATACATTGACATTGTCAACGGTTAGTTACTTCAATAAAAAAAATAAGAATTTCTTAGGCAGGCCACGGAATTATAGATAGTCATTTGATTCGTATACAAGATATATCACAAAACCATTTTTATTTCTTCCTGACTTTATTTCGAAATAAATTGCATGTCGTCATTGCTACATTGGAATTTTCTACATTTAAAGACTACCAAGGATAATATTACTTTAATGAAATATGTCAGTTTATCGTGACATAAATGTATATTCAGAACTAAATGCACAGTCAAAAAGTGTGTCCGATTGCACAAAATTTCAATAGAGAGTTGATAAGACAAAAACAAAATTGAGGATAGAGATCGAAAGCAGAAACGCCTAATTGAGAATTTGACTACGCACTCTTGTAGAGAAGAATGCAATGCTAATATGCAATTCATTTTGAAATCACATTTCAAATAAAACCAGGAAGTAAACAACTATTTTTCAATAAATCCGGTATACGAAACAAATGATTATCTGATAGTTTCAAGGCCGGCCAGGATTTTATTTTTAAATAACCAAGACTTGGTAATATCCACGTATGATATTATTATATATTCTTGAAATCAGAATTGGAAACTCTATTCATTAGAAAAAATAAAGTGTATGCAGGAGGACCAGAGTCGAAACATCATATTGAAATTCTAAGTATGCACACCATGTTATAGAGGAGAAAAAGTGACAATGTTAATATGCACTTTATTTTGAAATCCCACTACAATCAGTCAGGAAAAAATTAATGATTTTGGGAAATTTTGTTTTTTTCCGCCTTTTTCCGGAAGCAATTTGAATATCGAAACATTATGAGCGGCATCTCATTAGCTACCTAAATAAGTAATTTTGCCCCCCCTAAGCCACTTCGTATCTCTTATCGCTTCCGAGATCCCAATGGTGAGGGTCGAATTTGAAATACCCGGTATAGTTCAATCATTTGATGATCAAAATGGGCTTACCTGAAAAGTGTTAGGGAAATCTGGTAAAGACTGTATTTCCATAGACTTTCGTATGCTCTTTCCGAATTTTCACTTTGCTACCTTGCTATCTTTTCCTCTTAAGCTGCCATATTGAAGAAATAGTCCCGAAAACAGGATTTTCCGCGTACAGGAGGGGTATACGGTAAATCGTTCATTGCTTCAGTGATTTGGTTTGAGAGCTTAAAAATCGCTTCTCCTCTCATTTCGACGTATTTTTACTTTATTACCTCGTATGTTGGGCAGTATTGTTATAAAAATTGCGCCCAATATCGTATTGGAATGGTTTTTGCTGCGCCCGCATAAGGAAGATTAGTACAAAAATTATATTTTTATTTAGCTATTTTCCTCGAAAAAAACACGAGCAAACATTTTTTTAGGGATATTTTTTCTATATGTCGGCATAAGCGGCAATGATATACGATTACAAAGTAGCACAGCTATAATATATTAGTAAGTAAACAGTGACAATTTTAGCAGTAGGTATGTAGTCTATCTCTATGTTTTACTGGCTACCAAATGAAACCACAGATGCAAAATCAAGAGATCTACTGACGTTTCGTTTCTGAATATGATTTTATACTGAATATCATTTGGAACGTTGATAAAAGCCACCAAGGCGGCCGAAACGTCAGGAAATCGTTTGATTCCAGATGTGTGGTTTTATATCCCGACTAGTAGAACATAGGGATAGATTAACGAGATACACAGTTACATTAGTTTAATACTGTTTTAATCGCACTATTGAACTTATTTTACAGATCTCCAGTACACACCAACGACGTTGGTGGTTACTCTGACAGAAACGGCATCTCCCACGAAGACAACGGTGGTACAACTCCAACAACTAGCTCTGGAGCACCATCTGGTAACTCAACGCTAGAACAGGCCTATAATACTAGGAAGTTTGGAGATAGCTTACATAGATTTCATGCTAATGCTAAGCAGGTAGATGTAGTGTGCTACTAATATGCTAATTTATTTTATGTTTTTAAATCTGTATTGGGCACAATCCTACCTGATGGTGTCGACGAAATACTTCGAAAGCTTGCTAAGGTGGTACAGACTGTATAATTTTGGTACCCTGCAACGAGAATCTCAGAAAAATCTGGGGTGCATTTTGTTTTACAGGTTCAAAGTAGGAGGGAAGGCGGAGGTGAGGATTTCGAAAAAAATGGGAACACGACTGCAAGAAGTCAGTGCTTCTGGATTATTTAAAATATTTTAGAAAATGATAACCTGATAGCTATCGATTTTGTCTTTCTGTTCCACATTGCACACTTGTACGACAGCTATGAAAAAGTGCTGAACGAGTTCCGTAGATCTCAGTGAAAGCCTATTTCCGATTCCTCCTAACAACGAATTTGTTAAGACCCTGATTCATACCAGGTACTTCCCAATATACGGAGTGTTAAAATAAAAGTACCTGGCTTAAACTCGACGGGTGATTTCTTGGATGATTCCAAGAAGAAAATACCATACAAGCGTAATATGTCCGGTAATGCACTTTTTTGTCACACCATTTTTGAATCGCACTAATCACTCTTGTTAGGCTTTGTTGTTTAGCAGGTACAGACGTATTGCCATAGAGTTAACGAACTTTAATTCACAAATAATTTATCATTATGACTTTTTCGTTTGCGAGTTCGAGTTTTAATGGGTTTGGTTTTCCATATTAAGATTTAATAGAGATTTCCATAGTTGCGTCCTTGTATGTGAAAATCAACAAAGATAACAAAACCAACTGTAGAATTATTAAGATTTTTACGAAAATTCCATATGATCGGATGATTACTTCTGCGCTATCTTGAACCAGTGATAGTCTTCTTTTTAACAGAAATATTCGACGCGTGGTTTGACTCTATTCATTATGTGGTGTTCAATTTTGTCACACTCTGTACATCACTGGTGACTACAAACAAGGATGTAACGACTCTGTATGCTTTAGTCACAGATACATAAGTGAAATACTATATATCAATTCTGTTTCATTCAGAATTAGACGTCTAATTTCAAAATCCAGATTGTATATACTTAGAACCAAATTTTTCTGACGGCTTGAGTTCAATATGTGTACGAGAGAGAAGTGTGTACAGACACATATGTTAGAAAAAGATAGAAGCCGGCTGGATAGCAAAGCTCATCACCGCGTAGCCTAGCAACACTGACGCGGCAATCTGTCGCGTTGCAAATACGTTACACCAATTCGTTGAATTAAGATGTATGTTGAAAATATGCGTTAGTTTATTCTCTACGCCCAAATAATGGTTTTAATTTGAGCGTGCACATTTTAGAATTGTGAATTGTGTCGAATTTGTTTAGGACCGATTCCGGATCGGTCCTAACGGTGTTCCATTTCAGGTCGACAAATTCTGCAACATGGCATCATTGGTTCTCTTGGCAACACCGCATCTCGTACGTTCCAAGGCAAGGTTTCCACCTCCATGATCATAGATGAGCGATTTTGGTCAGTACCAATCAAGCGCTCATTGGGGAGTGTCGTCCTGCTTCGAAATGTAATAATTTGTACTGCGTAATGGTATTTGTTACATTTTCTGACCGCTCGCTGTGGCAAAATGTAACAATAACTCAGGATGTATTGATTTTATCACCATCCGTAGATATAAAAGGTAATCCTAAAATAAATTAAAACGCTAAGTCGCTAGTCGTGCCAAAATTGAAATAAATAATTCTAATCAAAATGAAAACAAAATATTAAATTAGATGTTCGAACAGACCTTCTTGGATTTTACAGTAACCTAACCTATTGCGAAGACTATACGAACATTTTCTATTGGTGACGATCTTCGCTCTTCAGCCGGCTTCTTTTTCTAGCATGTGTTGATACACACTTCTTGCTCGTACATAATGAACTCAAGCCGTCAGACAAATTTGGTTTTCCCTGGATAGTAATCCTCAAACACTGCATTTTCTCTATAGATTCGGCGAGCAGTAGGTTCTAACAGCATCCCCCCACCAGCTGCCCCTGCTCCTGAGCCCAAACAATCCCCGTCCAGCAACAAAAAGAGTGGCCAACAACATCGGTCCCGTACCAGAAGTACCAAAATGGAACATCAGTCTGATAGCAATTCCATGCCTTCACCACATTCTGGTGGTATCAAGACATCGTTGTCTGCTTTTAATCTGTCAAATGGAAGGAGTGATAGGGGCAGTGGACCTCCAAACAGTCAGGAAAAAGGTGATTGTAGTCATTGTTAATGATACTGCGATAGATTAATTGTTTTAAAAGTGTTTGTCGACCGCTGATACGAGTAGTAACATGTACCATGACATATCGGATCAACCACGCTTTGTACTAGTAACCCGTTCGGTTATTGCAATAAATGTTGACTTTGCATGTTGTTTCTGTGGGGCGATTCAATGAAACAGCGAAAATTGCTATTGCATTCTGGGTAGCAATCTGTCTCCTATTTCTCCCCCAAACACGTCGTTCCTGAATTCGTACTTACTGCTCTGGTATGCATGTAAGGTGCCACTGGCGTGATCAGTTTGTGCATGTACCGCGTTATGCTGATATCGCCCTTCGATACGAAGAGCTCCTAGTAGGTTAAGATTTGAAAATCGGTGCCAATTACTATACAAATTCTACTCTGAATTTTCACATCCCAAAAATGTACCATATTACTAACCCTCTTGTTATATCCAGTTCTCATAAGGTTTGATTTTTAACTCACGACAACAAAAATGGCGTCTAGTAAGTTGATTCTGCACCTCCCAGGAAACGCAGGTAATCAGTTCATGATCCATAAAAGAGCATATTCGGCGCAAGTTATGCCTCCCTAAAAAAAAGCCGAACACAAACACGTATAACAAAGGAGACCGACCATACGATTATATAGACCATATGATAATATATCCCCTGATCTAGTGATCATCCGACATCGTTGCGATCACAGTTGCGATGAGTAAAGCTGCAAGGGGCAGCGGCCACCTCGCAACAGGTTCATATGCTACTAACGATCCGCCCGCCTCGTCCTCGCAGAGGTAACTGCCGTATTAGGCAACTGCATCGCGTATCTGGGCGAGATTGAAATGTAACTGAGGTCCGTCCTACTTGGATTATTTGTGGTGTAGTTTAGTTTTCATCTTTATAATGTTAAAAAACAAAGAATAGACATATAAACAAACTAAAATATTTATTTTACACAACGGTGAGGACTTTTGCCGGACTTAGTACTGGTATGCCCAAAAGTGTATAATAATAATACATTGTGGTGGAAACATCTACCTTCATTACTCTTGTTCCGCTCTTTGCAAAGTATGTAAGAAGTATCATGTCTTGAAATCGTCCAATCATCAATTATATGCACTCATACTTAAAAAAACACTAAAAATACGAATTTAAGACAAAACTGTAAAAAACTGACATGTCAAGTGCAGTTGTAGTATGCAATTTTATCCTCGCTACCGGCTATAAGAATTTGAAGACAAACGATTCCTTGATTGGCTCCTTCTACCATGTCTGAATTCGTTGATTTGCTGCATATTATAGACAACACATCATTCGTGGGTCGAAATTAACCTCCGAGACGGAGATTCGAACCAGCGAGGCTTCGAGTAGACGGATAAGCAGCTCGACCCGCTATCCGCTCGGTTACTTAGCTCCCAGGTTGAATAGTAACTTAATTGAGCGTATTCTGAGCCATAATACAAAAAGTATGTCCTGTGATTTGAAGTGAGGATTTTTTAAAACTCTGAATTTATACTTGTTATTTACTGTCCGTAGGTGGTCAAACCGCTCTCCATGGTAGCAACGATTCTGGATTTTCTGTCGATCCACGTCAACAACCTGAAGTAGATTATTCTGATGACGAAGTGACCCAACAAAAAAGAAATCCCAGTCGGTAAGTTCAACATACGTATTCATACTTTTTATGTATTCTACCTAGCCATGAAAAAAAGACGTACGATTTTTTTTATATTGCTTTTCAATATAATAAATTTTGACAGCCTTATGCACCATCATATTGTCATGCAGCAGAAATTCTTAATTGGAAAAATTGTTATATTTCTCGATCGCTTTACGTAAATTTCTCAACGTAATCGCATGTCCGTTCGCATTTATGCCCATTTTGGCATGTCTCCAATGAGAAGGATGCCCCTGATGTTCCAAAAAAATGTTTCCAGCAGACGGTTGTGAGCGTGCGGTTTTGGGAGGTGGAGACCCTTAATGAATTCACTGCTTGGATTCTGTTTTTATCTCAGGATCGCAAATATTATGCGTGTGCATTTCAATTGTTTTTTTTTTTCATTGCTAGGTAGATTTCTTTTCTAGTGTCCTTCATAGAATGGAGATAACGTTCAGTGCTACAGCAATCATTCGTCCATGCTATCGCTACAAATGACATTGAGACATAGCTAATCACAACCTACTTTTCGCTGAATCAGGTATAACCTAGGTTTCGATCCACTCTGTAGGTTTTGATTTTTCTACGTTCTTGTTATGTCTTAGATTCATCATAAATCGTGGGATAACATACCGATTTTGAGCCAGGCTAAATTATGATGATTTAACCTAATACATTAATTGTTTCTCAGGCGAAGAATCATCCGTCAAATTGAAGAAAACAACAACGTACAAAATACAGCTACAATAAACAGACGGTCGAACACACTGAAACAAGCAAGAAGCCAAGTCAACCTGGTTGAAAACAACATTTTATCAGATAACCCTCAAGATTTAACCAAAGATAGCAAAACGCTGATAAAGCGAAGCAAAAGTTTCTGGAAGTTCGGAAAGAACTCTTCTAGCACCGAAATCTTAGAAGGCATGGCGCTTTGGAAACACAAGGACTTGATCAATGTCAAATTAGAGGCAGCCAGGAATAATAAAAAAGATAGTATGGAAGAACAAACTAGCGATGGAGACGAGTCGAGTGATTCAGATACTATAAATAACAATAATATTAATGATGGTCACCATTCATCAGGAAAGAATAGTTCTACGATGGAACCAAAAGTTAAAGAGAGGAGTTACCAGCAGCAGAAACGTATGAATGAGAAGAGCTATTCACCACGGGCAAGTGAGATCAACGCGAATGACAATTTCAAAATGGTGAGCGATTATAACAAATGTTTCCATGAAGATGACGACGATGGGCTGATGTTGAAGACAATCAACAGGAAGAAAATTGTTCAGCAGTATGCAAATAGTTCGTCTGGCTCAGATTCTGAAACAGAATCTGATGTTACCACTGACGATCCCTATGATTGCATCATTGTGAACGATCAGAAGATCACCAAAACAAAAAGCGAGAAAAACTACTTCCCTAATGTTTCTGAAATAGGGAGAAAGTTGGAAGAATTTAGTAAATACAATAACAAGAAAAACATTATTCAGGAAAAGAATAACATGAATATAATAATGTATCGGTCCAGAGATAGCAGCGATGATATTATTCCTTACGGAGAGAAGAGAAATACATTCAAAACTTTCCAAATGGAGAGTCAGAATGAAACTAAGCAACAAGAGGAGACGTATTACAATGAAAGTACTATTAAGAGGAACAAAAACAAAGATATACAAGACTATCAGGATGAATGGGAAAGTAAGAGTAAAATGACAAAAAGCAGAAACAGATCAAGTTATGAAAGTATAGACTCTGAAAATGACAATGAAAGACATTCAAAGAGTGAAAGAATATCTAAACATAAGCAATACTACGATTCTAATACTGAAGATGGACTGTCTGATAGTAATAAAGGCAGACAAACTATGGAAAAAAACAAGTCAAAAAAGCATAATTCGAAATATGAGGATAGAAGCTCGCGAGAATACGACGATGACACCCTGAAGCAGAGGTATTTGAAAAATGGAAACATGTACGGCCCTTGGTACGATCTATGGGGATTAGATTCTACAGGAGAAGTTCAGAATAAGCAATGATTGATATCATAATGTAACTCAAGTTGTTCATGTAAATATTTTACTTTACGTTAATATAAACTTGATATGGTTATCTCTATACTCGACGATACAGTATGTATTCATTTTAGTAAATACAATAAAAAGAAAAAAATTATTCAGGTAAAGAATAGCATGAATACAATAATGTATCAGTAAAGAGATAACAGCAATGATATTACTAATGAAGAGAAGAGAAATACATTTAAAATTTTCCAAATGGAGAGTCAGAATGAAAATAAGCAATAAGAGACGTATTCCATTGAAAGTACTATTAAGAGGAAAAAACAAAGCCATACAATACTATCAGGATAAATGGGAAAGTGAGTAAAATTACAAAAGGCAGAAACAGATCAAGTTATAAGATTCTGGAAATGGCAAAAAAAGACATTCAAAGTGACAGAATATCTAAACATAAGCAATACTACGACTCTATTACTGAAGATGGGCTGTTTGATAGTGATAAAGGTAGACAAACTATCGAAAAGAACAAGTCATGTCAAGTCATGTATGGTCCCTTGGTACGATCTCTAGGGATTAGATGCTACAGAAGTTCAGAATAAGCAATGATTGAATTATTATAAATCAAGTTGTTGATGTAAATATTTTGCTATATAGATCTTTATATTAGGTTAAATTTAATATGGTTATATCCATACTCGATTATGCAGTATCTATTAATTTATCATTTTCTATTTCATACACTATACAATTACTCCAATATCCATGGTTATGTTATGCAGTATGTAAGCTTGGTACCTGTCATTTTCTTTTGTTCACACAGATGTTTTCTTCTAGTGCCAATATTGAAATAAAAACATTATTTATACAAGAGCTGAACTACTGTATTTTTTACAGCCAATCTTGAATTTATTACTACGTCACACTTTAAATAATATATTGGAAGAATCATTAGGAAATTTCAACTGCATAAAAAAACTTAAGATTGTGGTTTTTGAGTTATAGGTTACTTCCATTTTACAAGATTTTCTTACTGTTTATCTATATAGGTGTTTATCACGGATAACATAAAAAATTGCCTGATAGGGTGTGTTGAAAGTTGGGACTTTCTCTTTCAGAAACAACTAAGTTAAAGTAAATGAATGCAGCAGATTGCCTAAATTTGCATATATAGTTCGTCAATCGTGTTCACCTCAATTTATACACTAAAATATTTCATTTCGCCCCAACCAAAAAAAAAAAAAAATTGTCTAGATGCACTCGCGAAGCTTTTATAGCATTTCGAAGACCCTCACTATGAATTAAAATAATATCGACAACTCCGTACTGCTGTACGAGTGCCATTTTATTTTTTTTAGAACCGATGTGTAAAGGTTTTGTTTACCGACGCGGCCAGCTCCTGGATTAAGTAATGATGCACACTGTACGTGTTCACGTTTCATCTGATCGAGATGCATTAGGCTTTGTTTAGGTTTAATCGATTTTGCGGAGCCTAACATCTCGGTAATCTTAAGATTTTGGTGTACATGTCAGTGGAAAACTGCTTATTTTTGCAAGATCTATATGCCGTGTAATGTCCCAACTTTGAGGAACCCCTGAATATATATTTATTATGTGCATACTGGATCTTATTTAAACCTCATTTACTCTGCGTCAAAACATGTAAGGACTCGACTGCCGCTTCTATTCGCTTGGTCTTTACCATTTATGGCACACTGGCCAATAAGACGGAATTTGAACGTCGCGCGCTTGTGTTTATTTTGAAGGGACGTAAATGAGATTTCAATACATATTAATTTTGTATATTACAAGACTGTAGCTTACCTATGCTTTATGCTTTTTGGAATTGATTGGTGTTGGTTTTTTTCAGGTCTAACAACTTAATCACAATAAAGCTTCGCAAAACTAACCCCAGCACTGAAAGAGCTACTGCTTCTTCTCACGCTTTTGAATAGTTTATAAACATTTTTAGAGTCTAGGAAATCATTGTTACCATGTTATATAAATTATTGTTTGTACTGTTTTGTAAAATATACATATTATATATCTAGAGGTAATATAAATGCCAATTGTACAAGACACAGTATTTTCATTTACTTTATTTTAAACATCAATGGTGGATTCATACAAGGTTATCTCAAATCTTGGGCGTAACTTTAGGCGGGACCAATATAAACCAAGCTGACTAGCCAAAAATCGACCGTTTCAAAAAAGATTGTAATAAGCGGTTTTATAACAGCATTACATTTTTGAGGGTATATGATAGATACACAAAAATTACTGACTAACTTTTTTTATTAAATGTCAAAGTTGGAAAATTTTACTTTTTCGCGTATATTCAAATAGTTATGATTAATTATTGGTGTGAGTGGTAAAAAAATGTAGGGGCGAAAATACCTTCATGTTACATTTATTATAACTGTTAATTTGTTATAACAATAAGCGTTCTATGTTTATTTTTTTTACTGGAAAATGCATAATGGTAAATCTGAAATAATAGCCAACTGTTGAAGTCTTTGTGGTGCCCAATATTCATAAAAAATTCCATTCACCGTTTCTGCAATTTTCTAATTGTTACTAATTTTTTTACAAAATGACTTTCTTTGACGAACTGTCCAGCGACTTTGGATTAATCAAATAGGCTCATTCTCTTGCTAGATGTTTAGTTTAATATCGCGTTGAAAGAGATACCAGATATTGTATACAAACCCATGCAAAAAAGCGTCGCCAATGGCACATCGATTTTTGCCTTATACACAATTAGGATAAGTCCATTGTTTTTTGACAGTTGTAATTGGGATGCCTACAACTGTAAAGGATGAAAAATTACACTACGACTAAAAAAGGAACTGTTGTGGACTGTTGGGGACAGGAAAAGCATAAAAAACTAGAACCTTCAGCAAAGGTGTTTTAAACCTGTGCCCATTCACGTGCACCAACTATTAGTCAGGAAGTCAGACGCCTTGTCAAATTCGGCTATCGTGTATCTTAGCCCAAGTCAGCTTATAACTCAATATATGGCATACAAATATCATTCCCTACATTTTGTGTAAATACATTCGATTTACTACGATAGTGCTGTAGTTGCGGGTGATATTTTCAAATTACATGAAATACTTGTTACAACATATATGTATCTTGAATAGAAAATTCAGAAAAATAAATTTTGCATAGAAAAATCCAACACGACTTCCGAAAACAAAGATGTCATTTGAATTCCTGGGAAATGCTTCACCTTTTCAAGGAGTATGCAGTCGTGATATGAAACTATTATAGTTTTAATTACAGTAATAAACTTCAAATCTTTTTTCATACATGGGCTTAATTGCGACACTTAATGTGATGACCATCACGACAGTGGCTTCTTTCAGAAAAAAATAGTGCATTTTAGGCTCCCAACGGCCGAAAAGAGTACCATTTTTCGTGAGTGTGTATTTTTCATCAGCTTTTCAATGGCGGGCATCCTAATTACGACTGTTAAGAAACGGACTTATTATAATTGTTCATAAGGCAAAAATGACGATGCTGTTTTAGATGGTTAATATAAAAAAGTCTAGTATCTGTTTCAATAAGATATTAAATGAAGTCTATAGCAAGAAAATAACCCCAACATGAGGCCATTAGATTGATCCAAAATTAATGTAGAAATCCACGATTTATGACGTTTTTTTGTAGTGCCAAATTAACCGTTTCCGGGAATTAGCCGTGTAAGGTCTTATTTGGAAGATATTTTCATCTCTAACACTGGCCTGTAATCTGTAGGTCCTCTGAAAAAAATATATATAATTAAAATAAATGTTTCTACAATTAACTATCTGAAACGCGATAAATAATCTTCTGAGAAATCAATGCCCAAAATAACTTTCATGATCTTCAAATCAATAATCAATTCTACAGAAGAGTTAGCAAACATTATTCGATAATTAAATAAATGAAAATAGGTACAAATATCCTTTATGCCATCCTACCTTGATCTTGGCGCATATCCCCTTTCTACTAACAACTTTTTTGGGCCATTTACACCAAAAGTATAACCATTTGAATATACGCGAAAAAGTAGATTTCCCAAAAATTTAGCCAGTATCTGGTGTATCTCTTGGCGAGGACCATTTCTATATGCCCTCAAAGATATAATTCCGTTGTAAAACAGGTTATTACAATTCTTTTCTCTCAAATTGTAGATATCATTAGACAAACATGTAAATGTCAAGTATATCATTTAATTAAAATGAATTCACAAACAACATAAGACAAAAAAAGACAATCATTTTCTCACAATAAAAGTATAGTGCAGTTATACTTTTACAACATTTCTTTAAAAATATCATACCTTACTAGATAATATGAATTAAAATCTTCCACCAAATAGGTTGTAGTAGTATTCCAACTGCTAAATAAATTCTTCTGGTTCTCGAGGAGCATCTAAGTCCCTATAATGGATCACTGGCCTGTAATCTGTGGGTCCTCTGAAAAAAATATATATAATTAAAAGAAATGTTTCTACAATTAACTATCTGAAACGCGATAAATAATCTTGTGAGAAATCAATGCCCAAAATAACTTTCATGACCTTCAAATCAATAATCAATTCTACAGAAGCTATGCAAAGTTAGCAAACATTTTTCGATTATTAAATAAATGAAAATAGGTACATATATCCTTTATGCCATCCTACCTTGATCTTGGCGCATATCCCCTTGCCCTAGGCGCGAAGCCCTGATTGTAGTAAGGCATGGGTCTGCCATAACCTGGACCGCCATATCCACCTCCACCATACCTAGAACAGAAAAAAAAGTTAATAAGAGAGAAAACATAAAGGCTGAGTTTGAGGGTATAATCGCTTGCTGTTAGTATAAAAGATACCTAAAAAAGTTTTTGCATACGGGCCATACAAACATGATTTTTTACTACTACTACGGATACTTTGTCCGCAACTTTAGTTTTAGTCGTCACTTGTGCAGTATTGCAAAAACATTTGATGACCAATGCTAAATATTTGCGATGTTGAAAAACTACGCTAAATAACTACCAATATTATTAGTAGTATGTATTTTTTTACCTGGTAATAAAATTATATTATTATTACATAACACACGCGCTAAAAGTATGACCTTCCTTCTGAGGCAGTCAGGCAAAAATCCATATACACAAAACATCTAGTTGGTTGGTCTATGGTTTTGACAGCAAATTGAATTGAATATTGTTTTGAAAGCAAAATGAATGTCTAATTTTAGAAGAGCTGTCTTACCCGATAATCACCGAAAAGAAAATGTGTAAAACATGAAGATTGACTTACATGTTATTGTAGCCACCAGGTTCTTCCCTTTTTGACTGTGGAGATTCGGCCAACATTGGTCTCTTAGGATCTTTGAGATAATTGTTGAAGAATTCAACTTCTTTCTTCACTTCTTCGAGCTTCTCTGCGTGCTTGTTGAAAATATGTTTTCTTACAAAATCAGGCCCTGTAACCATAGGTCAAATCATTCGAAAAAACAAAAAAATAAATATATGATGTAAACTATTAATTGTACATTGGGATAGAACATGCATTAAAAATATCACTATAGAATAAATAATAGTCCTTTTACCCGGTTTTTGGAGGTTACGTTACCATATCATACGAAATAAATAAATAGACTGACTAATGGTACCATACGCGGAGCTTCGTTCTTTAAGAGAAACTCCCAACTATGCAAGACGATCTGTAATGCAACTGCTGCCTACTCTTGCATATACACATGGGCTGTCAGGTCCGTTGGTTTGACTCATTTTATACTACTTGTATACTAATACAGACGGTTGACACTGTAGTAGTATGTCTGATATCGAAGATCAAGAGAGGTTAACACCAATAACACGTCTATGACAAGCAGTGACAAGCATACATCTGGAACTAATTCGATGACGCGAAAATTTTGAAAGAGGTGAGACAAAACTAAAAAACGTATGTCTTGAGTTTTCACAAACAAATGTCCGATTGCATACGTGTGTGTGTGAGGGAGATGGGTTTATAAAAGTAATTCCAGTAGTTTTACTGGGACCCACCATAAACCGTGAAAAGACCTATATATACTTATGAAGGTAGGTACTTCTTCACTATTTAGCTGCTCTTACATTTATGTACCTACCAGCATACATATAGTTATTTGTGCGGAAATCATAGATACGTTACGGATATAAGGTATACGTTCCGCCCAGTCACTGAGAAATACAAAAATCAAACTTTGAAAATTAGACCAATATTATATCTCACCTTTGAATTTCTTCCCTGATAACGGACACAACCATTTGTCTTTGGCAAGCTCCCTAGTATTTGCTTGTACAAACTTATCAATTTCGGTGTCGACGTCTTTTAACGCTAAAGTTACTAATTTGGCTTCGTTCTTGTCTTTGCCCTCCTCCTTAGCTTTTTCAGGTAGAAATGCGGACATCTTGTTCTCTATTGGAGCCCCTATGAACTGAGTCATATCAGTCTACAAGAAAAAAAAAACGGCGTCAACTAGGTTGACTCTATACTTCCTAGAGGTCCAGTGTCACGTGCGGAAGCGACTACAAGTATGAGTGTAAGCACTGATTAACGTATTCTATCTGAAAATAACCAACCTGAAGCTACAGTATTCTTTAGTATTAAGGACTATTTTTTCTCATATAGTTTGCTTACAGCCTTGACAATTTGTGTTTGTTGAGGTACTACAGACTAGCATTAAAATACGTTCATACTACTTTATGACCAAAAAGGAGACGACAAAAGTATGGAAACCCTTTTTTACAAAGTAAACATAATAACTCTACAAAAATATTTAAAAAATACTGTTTAGCTAATATTTGGTAGCATTTAACACTACTTGACATCTGCTGCTGATAGAAGACGCCAATTTTTTACACACGTCTGTTTGGATATTTTGCTAAATATTTTTTACTTAATCATATAAATCGCTCTTATTTTTAAAAGTTTTTCTTGACAGTTGTCTTTTAACATACTCCCAGATATGTTCTATAGGGTTTAGGTATGGGGATTGCGAAAGCCATGTAAGAACATTAACATTTTTTAGTCTTAACCAGTCCTTTACGAATTTTGAGTTATACTTGGGGTCATTATCATGCTGGAATGTACATCGTTAAGGCATTTCTTCTTCAGCGAAAGGGAGCACTATCTTTGTAAAGTTTTTGATCCATTTTCCCAGCAATTTTAACAATTGGACCCATTCCAGAACTAGAAAAACAGACCCAAACCATGATGTTGCCTCCACCGTGCTTAACTGTTGGCAAGTGATACTTTTTATCGAATCTTTTTTGAATTAGACGTATCACATATGCCGTACCGTCAGATCCAAACAAGTTAAGTTTACTTTCATCCCTCCATAAAACTGCATTCAATTCCTGTTCTGTCCAAGTTAGATGAGTTTTAGCAAATTCAAGTCGATCAATAAGACTTTTTTAAAAAGAGATGCTTTTGAACTGGACGCCAACCAAAAAGCTCAAAATCCACCAAGTGTCTGCACGATTCTTTTGAAAATCGGTGTGGCTGGCATTCGAGAATCTTCATGGGACAAACGTTTAACCGTGGGGCTATAGGGGGGTACAGGGGAAATGGGGAACACCACACTGATTTTGGTGAGGGAACACGTGTACATGCAACATGCACATATTCTGGCCCAGCCATCTACTACCTACGGACAATCACAACATCCATAGCCAAAAGAAAATTTCTCCTGGGACGGGATTCGAACCCGCACAGCGCACGGCGACTGATCAGGAGACCGAAGAGTCTACTACTGAGGCCACAGCTGCTGCCTGAAGGTACAAACTATTGATGTAATAGAAAGTTATCCTTATCGCTGTTTCCATGTACACCGTGATTTGAACTTCAACTTGTAACGATCTTCCGCACCTGGGCCGCGTTGCTGTTAATCAGTTTCTTGATGTTTAGTAATAATTTTCGAAACCGTCCTTTTGTTCATTCTTAATCTTTGAGAAATGTCAACATTTCTGAAACCACTTCTGAATAATTCAATTATGTACTTTGTCTCTTAAATCTTTTGAAAATTCTTTCACTTTTGCCATTCTCACTGATGTTAATATTTACCCCACGCAATAACAGAGTAACGCAGAACGAATAAATACGGCAAAACTGAAATGTTTCCGCCGCTTTGTCTTTACAAAAACTGTGGTATTTAAAAAAACGCGTGTTTTTATTTTCAAAGAATTTGAATATTGATAAGATAAACCTTGTAATAGTACCTGAGCCGAAGGTAGACTTCAATATTTATATTATCTGTTCCTTCACAATTTTAATTTAACTATATGAAATAGTTCATAATAATGTTAATATTATTTGTTTCCAAACTTTTGTCCGCTACTGTGTATTTCTGCATCAAAAAAATATTAGAGTTTCAATGCGATACTGTGAGAATTTATGTCAGCTGTTTCTCCATTTAATATATATATGTATATATAGAGAATATGATCATGCGGAGAAAGGTATATAACAACAAGTAGGAAAATAATGGGCAAAATCCGCAAAAAGGAGGAAAGTGGATTCGAGCAGAAAATAGGATAGGTAATCCGCATGATCATATTCTCTTTGTAGATGCTTTGGGCTTGAAGTACCACAGCAAGTGGCTATAACCGGCCAGCGTGGTTGTGGTTAGACGTCTCCTTGAAAATTCGAGGTCGTATAACCATTTTATACTACAATGTGTAGGTTGGCTCTTGTTGTGGACTTCGTGTGTCGTTTTTTCCCCTCCAACTTCGTTTCCTCAGGTTACACCCGTATCCGGATGTGTGGGCATGTGTATCTACTTTTGTAGTTTCTTATGTGCATTCATTTCGGGCCTGATGAAGCCAACCAGCAGAAATACGTATCGCTCGGGTTACCTGTACTATTTTCTGCTCGAATCCACTTTCCTCCTTTTTGCGGATTTTGCCCATTATTTTCCTACTTGTTGTTATATATATATATATATATATATATATATATATATATACTTTGAAAATGTTAGTGTCTCATAGATGGAGCAGTAGCGAATTATATCAGCATATATGAGCATACTAGCAGCGCGATCTCTGAGACATTAACCTTTTCACTATATATGTAGTAAATAGAGGAATCCAGTTTGATTTCGGATAATTTTTTGGATGTGGGAATATATCATTAGGTTGGATATCTTCTAGTAGAGTACGTTAATCAATGCAGTCGCAGTTCTAGCCTGCTATGAAATTCTATAACACCACTGCTGAACTTCGTGAACGATTTTACAGGCAACTGATAGTTAACTTCCAAGTTATAATTACTAAGGATGCACTGAGTAAGTAGTACCTGTTACCGGGTATTCGGTGGAGCTATTTGCTTTGGGTTATTTCACCTACTGTTACTGATATTAATATTATATTTATTTGCGTTTTTAAAGAGTTCCCTCATTCTCAAAATCGATTTAGTTTTCCAAGAAATTAACGCACCGCACTTGCGCAATTTAGACATTTTTTTGTAAGAAAACCGTCGTAGGTTGGTGTATTTCGGATATATTTTTTTGATATATAAATAGTTGTGACAGAGCTAAGCATATGTTTTTCACTGTGAAATTCAGCAGCTAAATATTTTGATATTAGATTTTTGGAACAATTGTTTTTGATATACTTCTCGATTCCTCCTATCACAAAAGAATCATATTTGTATGACATCTTCAATGTATATTTTTGTTGAAGATAGACTCGAGGTCCCCATCAGCTCAATTTTAGAAAAATTGCCTAACGGAGTCGTTAATGTGTTATGGTCATCACTATCACAAGCCTATAAGTTTCTGAACTGCCTTTGGGGAAGGGATTTCAAAAGAAACAAAACTGCTAGGTGTCGTAGTAGTAAAGAGTTTGTTTGCTGAAATGTGGGATACTAATTATTCCTCTTATTTTTTTTTACTTTTGCTTCATTATTTTATTTTGTTTTGGGGTTTTTATTGTTTGAGTGTTCATATGAAAGATAAAAGTTCAAATAAAAAATACAAGACAATACTACAATATGGTTTCAGTTTAAACTCCTATATATGGACTACCATATTTTTTTATGGAAAACACCTGGTGAATAGAAAAATCAGCTGTGCAAATACCGTGAATTCATCAACTTACTGGAGAAGACAGTCAACATTTACTAAAAAATCTTCCAAATCAGGCAACTGATTCCACAAAAATATGCTATTTCATTTTGATGACTCGTTAATTTCTTGCAAAACATAGGAAGGTTTGGGAAAGACTTTTGAGCTCCAACTTAAGATACCACATCTGCAACCATAATTGAAAACCCGGGCCTTAGTGAAACATTTCCATAAGTACCTCTAAAAAAAAGATTTTCATTGAATTGCATGATGCATGCCACTATAACACCTAGTGCAACTCTGTTCTGCTCACCTCTTGCGGAGCAATCATTGTTTGTTACATTTTGCTCTATCTTGAATTAGATTCAGGACGACTCGGAGCAGTGTCAAAGTCTCAGAATAATAGGTGAAAAATAATACAAAATTATGTACCTTTGAGGTAGGTGGAGGTCCTCTAGCATGTAAAATACCACACCGATTAGGCATTTCATCTTCATTAGGATATTCACAATGATTGTAATAATCCAAAGAATGGACTATCCTGAGATATAAGATGATCCTATCCAATACTTTTGTTAGATCTTCATCTCTTTCTATAGTAGTAACAGCATCTTGGTTCTCTGAGCTGACCTGAAGACCCAGGAGTTCCTCCTCTTCAGCGCTGGCCTCTTCTATCAGATAATCAGTGATATTGAGAAGAATGGGGTTGTTCGAAACCAGCCCAAATGACTAAAAGCAAATAAAACGATATAGAGCCAACGCGCTTTTTTAATTTCATCATTTAAATATGATATATGATAAATATTATATCATTTAAATATTTAAAGTCTATTGAAATTTTCAGAAGGTAACTTAAATTGTTCGTATTTTTTACCTGCGAAGATATGTCCTTTTCTTTTTCGGGTTCTCCATCAGCTGACTTTTCTCTTGGCCATAGTCCAGCTTTCTCATCCAAATTCAATGCCACTCTAGCAGAAATTCTCACATCAGACCTACGAAGAAACATCATAAGCCAGAGTACGTTAGGCATCGGCGAGTGCCGACGGCCTCACGGCTAACGAGGCTTCGCGAGAAAGTTACAAAAATATCCTACCTGTTCCTAAATCTAGAATCGCCAACTTGAAAAAAAAACAATGACTCGCACGATTCTCAGGGAATCCCTGAGTCGTTAATTATTTCTGCTTTGGTATGCAAGCACTTGTAGAGATAAAAACATCAATCTATAGATAAATCCATGTTTTCTTTTTTTAGTTTCAAAGAGCTTAATGAGGTAATGGATAAAGCTTGCGCCACGACTATGGAGGTCAGTTTCGTCATCCTTGCGTGGTTATTAACGATAACTTTTCTCAGAAGAGAAGAGTTCTAGTGAGTACTGCCTACTATCAACATTGTTTGTATTCTGTGGACTGCCCCTCGTTTGACCCACCATTTAGTTCCTTCTCACGGCAAACTACAAATCCAAAAACATCCAAACATACAAAAAAAGACGTAACCAGACATCACAAAACAAAGACATTTTAATGTGGTGTGAAAAAGTCATAGCAAAAATGGCCATAAGGAATTTGCATACACACTAAAAGTAAGCTCCCAGATGAAACCCATCTATATTGAATCGAGTTGCGGCTATGAGATGCTTTGTTTCAAAAACTCTGAAACATATTCGCTTGAGCTAAGATTAATTCCTTGTATGTATTTGAATACGGCAGGTGTTACAATCTTGAAACAATTCAGTCCGGCTAAAAGCCAAAAAATACGTCAATATTAATTTGTATTTTTTCATTTAATTTTTGCTCATTCATTTTAACGTTTTTTTTTTATTGGAAAATAGAAGGAAAGCCAATGTCGCCGATGTCCATACATGGTCTAGCACCGCCACTTTTAGGCTTTGATAATAAATATGAATTGAATGTTCTAAAATTGCATACCTGTGGTTTAGTTTGCAAATGCAGGCATTTATTTTCGAAAACTATATCCGACTATATAATCACAGTACAAAACCCATTTATAATGAAATAGCTAACATGTTTTCAGATTCTTCCCAAGAGTTGCATACCTGACAACTTGTCTATGTGCAGTAACACCATTGACAGGTCTGATTCGCCTACTGAGGTCCCTGTTGACAATAGCTCCAAGTTCACAATCTCTGAGACGTACACTGTTGAGGTTCCAGCAGATTTCTTTGATGTTGGAATCACGCTTAAATGTGACCCAACCACGTCTCAGCCAACGGCGTTCTGGTTGAGGTTCTGCCAGAGCAACTCGAAGGAAGCCTTCATACCTATAAAGCAAGTCATATGAACATAAAAATTACAATTACAGAGGTGATGGTAAACAAAAACGGCACTATAAAGACATCACTGTCGCTCCAAATGTTTAACCTCCGCCTAAATATACTTTAGTTACTTCTTTTAATTAGAAACATCCACGCTGGCTCCAAATAGAGCAATGCGATGCAATAAGACTTTCGAATAGATCTTACCTTGAGCAGATAGCTTCTACTTCGGCCTTGGTTATAGTAGGGGCAAGGTTTCTAAGAAAGATGGAAGTGGTCTTATGCAATGATTTCGATTTTGGCTTGGTAACTTCTTCAACAGAAATTGCATCGTCATCTTTCTTCTTGTCATCTTCAACTTCCTTCTCGTCTTTTTCACCTTTCTCCTCTTCTTTATCTTTTTTCTCGTTTTCGTTCTCTTCCTCACTGTCACTGCTGCTGGATGAACCACTACTGCTTCCGGAATAAGATGCCTTGCGTTTCTTCCCTGAAATAATACACATAATTATATATTAATTTCGAATGGAGTAATGTTATGCTGACTACAAAATTAATTTTAGTATTTTGATCGATTTTCATTAAGGCAGAACCAGGACGAAAGTAGTCAGAGAAATGTTTAGAAAATCAATTTCATTCAAAGTTTGAAAACAAACTCTGATACACCACCTAAAATTTCAGAATTTATAAAAATACATATCTGTTTAACTAAATGAAATTCAGATTTACACTCCACAGTTTACACAGTAATATCATCCTATTTATGTATTTGCTGACTAATAAAGTATTAACAGTAAATAGCTCACCCTTTTTACTGGATGATTTCTTTTCAGTAGCTCCTTCATCCACGTCCATTTTCTCATCCTTTTCTTTCACGTCCTTCTCATTTTCTTGGTCTTTTTCCTGCTTTTCATCTTTCCCTTCATCCTCAACTTCCGTAGCATCTTCTTGTTCTTTGGGCTTCTCATCATCATTTTCTTTTTCAACGTTTTCATTTTCTTTTTCCTTGTCCACTACAGGTTTCTCGGCATCTTTCTTCTCTTCTTCTTCATCGTCCTCTTCTCCATCTTCTTTTTCTTCCTTCTTATCATCGTCATTCTCCTTTTTACATAATAAGATAATAAACAACAGCTATACTTATTGCCTAGACATACATTATATCACAATTACTGTACAACTTAAGCATCATACCGAGTGTAAACGGTAGGAGTGGCCCACCTAGCGGCAAAACCAAAGGTCACACCACTGGACAGGCAGCACCGAGCCGGTATTGGCACCTACTCAGATTTGTACAACCTCCTGCGCTGTATGATCAATCCCATCCAAAGTTTTGGCGATGACGGTACTCTAATTGCAGGCATTCCGTGTGGCAAGCTGATCTCTGCTGATGAGCTGGAGAGAAGACAATTAGCAACTTCCTCTTTGAGGGGGATCTGGAAGTTGGCACCGCCTGATGAGGTAACAATCTGGTTAAGTTTAATGCTTCCAAAACACAGCCTCCATTAACAAGAAGCGACCCAGCGCTTATCTGGTTTGGATGGATGCCCGAATTTTGCCAAAGAGCAATTCATTTCAGCTGGTCGGAGTCCAGATCACCAAGAACTTGATTTGGCACGATCACATCTCATCAATTGCAATGGCTGATGAGAAAAAGCTAGTTTTTTTTTTGGCATTAGAACTAGGAGTTCATGCAGCCAGTCACTAGGTTTCTATACATATGTATCATCCAAACACATGACGCCACAACATCCATGGCTACGGAATGTAATTTCCGAAGGCGAGATTCGAACTCGCGGCCCGGCTAGATTATTTCTTTAGAGCTAAGAAATACTTTTCTTCACATAACCTCGACCCTCTGTACAAGGCCCAGATAAGACCTAGCCTCGAGTACTGATCAAATGATTGCAGAGTAGGGCTGTGCGACTGACCAATGACACTTTCTAATGGATAGTCCGGGACCCTGCGTCTACTGCCTGACGGACCCGTGACGCTGATGCCATCCATCACAACTCTGTCGAACGTCATACATCCAGAACTGGCCGATACAACCCACACCTTTGTTCCTAGAATGTCGAGATTGTGAAACAATCTGCCTGAGGAGACTTTTCCAGTTCTGCTAACCGGTACAAAAACCGGATTAATAAGGCGTCATAAGTTCTTTATAGAAGTCGGGGTGCCCCGCTATTTACGATTGTGCCTGCGCGACTGGGTCAGTATAAAAAATACTCCTTATCATGCTTAAGTTGTATAGTCATAGTGGTAACCTGCTGTTTGAGCATGCATATTCTACCTTAGGTCCATTTTTGTTGGCATCAGTGACTTTCATCTCTACATTGTTTTCTGCAGCTGCTTTTTCAGCTTCATTTTTCTTGGCCTCTGCTTCTTTAGCTGCAGCTTCTCTTGCCCTCTCAGCTTCAGCTTCTTTGGCCTTTTGCTCTCTGTATTTCTGTTCCATTTCTTAAAAAAAGTATAACAGATTAGGTATATACGTTGAGATATACAGATATAGGCTTTGGATAGCTACTGGTTGATTGAAACCCTTAGGACCTTTATGCGTATGACCGAGAAAGGCTCCTTTCAGATCTTCCTTTATCAGCACCAAACTGCCTCTATCTACATATTATGAAAAACATTCCAGATTCAAATTCCTTAATCACTTACATACCTTCATATTCCTGTTCTAATTGGGCAAGATCTTCATCAGTACCGCCCTCAAGTTTAATGACTACAGTGTCAAGTAATTTGAGCAGCTCATTAGTCTTGGAACAATCCACTGTTACAGCATCTATCTTTCCATTTTTCAATAGGTCCATGAAAACTTCCACTCTTCTCTGAAACAAAACAAAAATGAGAACTCATTTAGAATATCATGAAGGTGGTTGGCATGCAGTACTGCAGATATCGGAAGGATTACCTATACTTTACGAGAAAATATTATGCTTTTTTTAAATTGCTATTTCACAAACAATAATCATAGAAGAAGACAATACACACCTTCAAATGAGACATTTGCTCTTCTTTTCTTTTAACAGATTCCTCTGGATGGTATTTCAAGCGGAACCTAAGATAAATCACAGTGATAAAATATTTTCAAAACAAAAGTATCAAGTTTAGAATCTCCAACCACCCATTCATGCAATAATTTGAGACTTTTATTGAACCATATTAAGGTGAAAACTAGGTTTATTTTCTCAAAGATAAGGTATCGTTTTGTGAGCAAAATACTACGCCCACAATACAAAATTTAACTACAGATTCAGTTTGCTAGAAACATGATATAATCCACGAAAATCTACATATAAGCGACAACATACATATATCGCATTCCATTCAGAAAATTAAAAAAACACATCAAAGCAAGATAGACTTGAATGAAAGAAACTCCTAAATAAAAAATCCACTGATAACTGTAAAATATTCTTCAATCGCACCTTAATATGACCGTTATTCGAAAGACCAAACACCATAGCACACAAAGAAAAAAAGTGAACATATTCTCCTTGAAAATGCAATCCTTGAATTTTGTATAAAAAAAGCTCCTACTAGTCAAGGTCAGGAATTCAAATAATGAAAAGTGCCTTCAGGCACCTTAGTTGAGAACTTAAACCTTGGGACAGTTAAACAATTTGGATAACTTTTAAATTACAGTGTTCTTAAGCAAATCTAAAGCTGTAAGATCTGAACCTTATCCTGTGGTTTTCATGTCGATAATTCCACATGTTTGTGAGGTCAATCAAACCACATGGTTGGTATGAAAAGCACCTTTTAGCTGACACTCGCAATGTTAAATATGGCTATTATCATCATTATGTGTTTGAAATTCTTCTATATTATATACGTTTCGGTCACAAAGTTGACCTTCTTCAATACATAACTCTTTTTGGAGAATATTTCATTTTCGGAACGACTGACGGGGGTGACGTATATGGTACATTAAAAAAATTAGATATAACTTCTTGCTCGCTTGTTTTGGGGAGCCAGACGTCCTTTTGGGAACGGGAATGCCTACCCTAGACGGTTCTGGGCTATGCTAATTTTGCGTGGTGCCATCTTAAAATTTGGAATGATGATTTTCCACAATATCAGAATGCTCACACTTTCAGACTACTGTAGCAAAATACTGTATAGGAATGTGAAATCAGAATAAAAACCAAAGTACCACCTGGAAGACAAATAAACAATTGTCAAAAAAAGTGTCATGTACTGAAGCAGGTCATCGTTGTGACTGAAACGTATACAATAAAGATTGGCCAGACAAACATGGTGGATCATAAATCTAAAGGTGTATAAGCTCTTGGCTAAATAACAAAGAGTTTTTGTCAAGGCTCTCTATACACAGGCCAAAATTATTACTCATAACTTTGACGAATCGTATATAAATATAAATACCCTATCACTTTCCACGTTATGAAAAGTTGCTGGGATCGTAAGGCCCCATTTACTGAGCCTGGTCCCAAAAAGCACGTGGCTAATTCACACACTAAAGCAATAAATACGTCATAATTCACTTGGTTTAAGTACAATACTTCTTTTTCCAGTTGGGTCTGGACACTAAATTAGCGGCCATAATCATATAATGCAACAATAAAAAAGAAACATTTGCGCCATACTCCAATCATGGACACAAATCTGATACAATTTCTAGATAGATATGACAGTAACTAATCTTGCATTTTATTGAAAATGACAGTGACTCACTGTTCTGCACACAATTCTGCTTGATAAATTCTTTGAGGATATACATAAAGTTACAGAAACTCTTTAACATCGAGTAAATAATCAATTTACTTACTGTTAATGAGGTGTCGCGCACTCTACTGGACGGTAGAACGACATCCGAATGCATGGGGTTGTCAGTAAGCAAATTGATTATTTACTCGATGTCTGTTAAAGAACAAGTATTCTGTAATTTTATGCCTTCAAATGATTTATTAAGCAGATTTTTGTATAACAACAGTGAGAACTGTTCTTTTCAATAAAATGCTGTCTGGTTTGATCCATGTTTCGAGTAGGCCACAAATCTTTTTGAATGGAATTTGCGTCAACTTCTGTGTCCGGACGCAAATGAAAAAATAGGTTTTTGTAGCTAAACCAGGTGATTTATGAAGCATTTTTGGTTTAATATGGGAATTTATACAAATCGACTGATTTTTAGTTGTGAGACATCTTGAAAGGAATCCACCAAACTCATTATATCCATTACATCGCTACTACTATGACGCCTTCTAATTGGTCCGATTTGTGCCATAGGAGCAATTTTTGTTTCCTGCCGGTCAATAGTAAAATCAAGCCAAAATGTAGTATTTGTGTTCACTTTTTTTCATTTCACTTCCGCCCATCAGACAAACTAACCAATATATTGTAGAACTTTACATAATTATGTGTCTTCTTAGAAGTTGAGTCTCACCTGTTTAAACGCAAAAACCTTTAAAGAATTTAGATCGCGAAAAGCATATGCATTGCGCGCATAGCTTTAAAGTAAGCGGAATAAGAAAATAGGTATCTCTCGTTCACATATTCTCATTTCATGTTTGTATAATACTTTAACGGGTTTAAAAAACGCGAATTGAATCCAGTGGTGTTGCAGACACACGCAATTTTATGGGTCGAACCCAGCTTGTCTCGAGACTTGTCTCGTTGCTGTAGAGAAAAAGTTGTTTTAAGTCACATAATCCGAGAGCAGATTCAGTAAGTTAGATCTCAATGTCATTTTGAGGATTACGCTTACTTTGAATATGCTCTCTGTGGAATCAAAGGCTTTTTATACATAGCTCCTTGCTGAAGAGTGAAGAAGCAAAAACATATAGTTCTGATAATTAACCCTAGAAATGACGCAACATTAAAGTTCACACAGAAAAAACGATTGTCTTGAAACTATTCTTCATGAGAGATATAAAAAATTAAATGTGTATCCAAGTGCCTATTGTAGTGTATGATAGAAAAACACACTGAGTTATTATGATAAAGTACTCATAAATATTTATAAAGCAAGATATTGAAATGTTAGGTTACAAGAATTCATAACTCCAGTAGATACTTCAATGATATACATATGATAAAATTGAATATTTTTTATAGTTTCTGTTCCGCCGTAGAGAGAACATTTTGCCAAATGATACAAACATAGATAATTATCAGAAATATGAAGTGTAATAGAAGTTTTGTAGATACATACATGTAAAACATGCAAAATCAATGTGTAAATTTTAATGTTAACATTATCTCTTACACAAATTAGAGATTATTCAACGGCGATCAGCAAGAAGCCATGAATAAGTATTGACGTTATTTACAATATCCTCATTTCTGATGTATGATTCATTTGAAAATGTTATTCCAGCCTTGCCAACATCAACATACTCCATTATAAACACATTATTACTACTAGGTTGGTATTTCTTGGCTGACTGGAATGAAAATTCATTTCATAAAGAATTCATGACCACAAATACCTCTATCCAAACACGAAAAATACCCAAGATATCACAATAATTTTGGGGATGTTCGGATGTAAGACATTGTATAATCTTCATATCAAGATTTTAATGAATCTTGTAGTCAAAAAGTGGCATAAAATGTTCATCAAATATCCTAAGACACAACAGAAGCCATTGTGATTCAATATTGAATCCTGCTTTTACTGATAAATTATGTGTATGTGTTGCTTTGTTGCAATACAGAAATTACTGTAAGAGAATGTTAGATGCCAGCAAGTTGTGAAAGTTTGATTATCATGAAACCCATCATCAGTGCAGATTGAATTTGTTGTTGAATATACTCAAAATGAAATTCATCAAAATTGTTCTGCTTCTGATTCCTAGGATCTGGAATACACAGTAAAGTGTTTTCAAATAATCCACTGTTGTGCAGAAAAATGCCACTGAAATGGCATTATAAAAATAAATAGTTATATATAAAAAAAAATCCTTACCATTCATCATCCTTGTGAGCGACAAAGAATTCATTCAGCTGTTGCCTCTGAAACTCAAGTTTGTAATCGTTATACTTTTCGATAGCCTCGCTATCTGAGATGTTATCATCCTGTGTGGCCAAGAAGGCCTTGAAAGACATCATGGGCGGTTGCTGCCCCTCCATTTGCCCAGAGGAACTACTGGGGTCTCTGAAGAAATAACCTCTTTAAAATAGAATAGGACGGTGTTAGAAACAGAGGTTAGTAGATCCCTTGCAAAGCACGACAGTGTGGATTAATCCACCACCACCACTATAATACACTGTATATATCTTCTGAAGGCAATGCAATTAGATTATTTCAGATGGACTTTTATATTGTACATATCTTTTACGTTGGATACATTATTTTAATTAACACTGCTTTGTTTTCTTTCTATGTAGGTTAAACACCATTCTGTTCGGGACTCTATCACTAATCAAGCATTGATGGAATTAGTGTTTTAATTGTTACCATTACTTTCGAGAGTCAAGTCCATAGTATAATTGCATCATTTTCAGAACAAAGCAGATACTTCTAACACTTTTTTTCCCTGACATTCATTATAAAGCATTGTGCAAAATACATGACACCATGTTATCAGATCTCTTTCAGTAAAATACAGCAATTATCGATTGTTTAACTTATTAAAATAATCTCTGGACCTGAGTGTCTAGGGACGCTCGCTATATTGAAAAACATCAAAAAGTAATGTGAAAATGAGCGTTTCGGGAAAAAATGGCGTCTAGTAGATTGACTACTCTCAAATTTCAATTTGAAACTTGATTAGGTATGTTCTCTTGAGTACAATATACCTATTGTATATCTTAAACTGTTTAAAATAAATCTGTTAAATTTCTGCTTCAATGGTAGATGTACGGAAAATATGTGTGTTATTATTATTATATTATTATTATCTTAATAACAGAACATCTTCAGTGACACCAAATTTGCAACATCTCCAACAGTTCACCCCATACAACCCCAAGCCCGCAATTTTTAACGACTACCTAAATTTTTTAAGGTAGACCAGGGATCTTTCAAACGTCGAAACAAGATGTTCCCGCGATATTTGAATTTTTTTTCGTAGCTCTGCCGCAGCTGCATCATTTACAAGACATACAAAGCTTTTTTGTTCTTGTCATAGTAGTCACATTGAGTCAAAATTTCACCAAATATGTAGTTTTCGAGTTATAAAGAGGCTAAAAATTAGGAAACAGATAACAGACCTTAATCACTCTCTCAGTTAAGTAGCATCCAGGTATCTGGCCACCATTCAATATATGTGATCAAGCCATATGATTGCATGGTAAGTACAAAGTCTATTTACTAGACTCCATAAATGATAGAAGTATCGCAATTATGAAAATATTCGAATTTCAGTTAGAAAAGGACTCTAGGGCGCTAAACAATAAAAGGCATTTATTAACATGGTGGGTATTCAGTTCAACAGCTGCTTTTCAGTACCAACCAAACCAAAACCATGTATGTTCTAATTACTGTTTACTGTACAAGGTTACAGCCACCAGGGTGGCCTTTTTCAGATAGAATGACAATTAGTCACAACATATTTTGTTCATCTGACACCCAGATGACAGATTTTTTATTATCATTACTATACGTTGCGGCAAACGGTCTCGTACAATGCAAAGATTACGCGAATTTTAAGATGACAGCGCGTAAAACCAGAAAAGCTCAGGTTCGCCTAAGCTAGGCATTCCCGCTTCCAAAGGACGTCAAGCCCCCTAAGCGGCAAGCGAGCATGATGTCGTTTTTTGAATGTATCAAACGTCACCGAAAACCCTAAACGCTCCCCGAGAACGCGAAAACCCACCCAGAGCTATTTTAACATACTGGTTGATTCTTATTCAATCTTCGAATGCTAATGTTGTGTAGTGTAGAGTAATTAAAACACGTAGTTTAATTTAGCAACCAGACAATGGAGTCTTATCAACATGAAAACCGCATGGTAAGTTGCAGGTGGGGACCTCGGTTGGCCGCGTGGGTCAGAGTGTCGTGCTACTGATCAGCCGGCCGGCCGGGCCGCGAGTTCGAATCTCGCCTTCGCTATGGATGTTGTGACGTCGTGTGTTTGTCCATAATTAGAAATATACATATACAAGATTGGATCTGTCTAGTGGGACGCAATGTCCTAGTGCCAAAAAAAAAAAAGTTGCAGGTGCTACATTCAGTTAACATGTTTTTTGTTGTTCGAAATTATCTTAATGGCACAACTCGATGTCAGTCATTTCCGTCTATTTGTCTGCTTGTCGGACTGTTCACGTACTTGTAACCATGTAATATCAGAAACCCTTGCACCGATTTCAGCGAAATTTGGGGAGCAGAAGATATGTATGTAGTTACTCCAGAAAAGCTCTTAAGAACACGCATTAAAGTTAAGGCGAAATAGGTACAATGGTGGTTCATAAAATTTAGAAAGGTATGGTGAGTACAGATACTGTTTGCTTGCCGCTGTGCCGTCATCTCGCGAAGAAGGATCGTTCATGATTGTAAATTGTGAGCACATTTTTCGTCGGATCTTTTTCATTTAAGTTTCCTGTTATTACCGGGACCAGAAGCTTCTTAATAATAGAACATCTTTCACTGATAAAAACATGCAACATTTACCCCTACCCCCCACTTTGAAAACCCCTGCAAATATTTTTACCTGAAAACGAGCAGAGGCCTATGAAACTTCAAACATGTTTGAGCGAATTCTATTTTTTTTTGCTTTTTTGCAGGTGGCTCCACCACAACTGGATCAATTTCCAAAAGCTAAAAAGCTTTTTAATCCTTGGCATAGTAGTAACCTTGTGTGAAAATTAGCAGACCGATTGACAGAAAGACAATCCGATGGAAATGAGTGACATGTTTCTTATGATGAACATGTCATATAACGTCTCCAAAACATTTTCGAAAATTTTCGCGATTAAAATATTTATTCGCCGCTGGCCTAGGCAGTAGAATGAGTAGTTGATGAATAAATCAGTCAAAATGAGTCTGTGGACATCCTTGGCAGCATGCTACCTTTGTGTGTACATTATAGATACTGTGTTAGAAGCAGTAGTGGTAGGAAGGTGAAGCCTGGCAACTAGATCACCTTTCTGCCGACACGGTAGTACCAACAATGTACCACTCACCACTCCATGAGCCATCTGCTGGTGGCTGATACAATAAGCCGGCTCCAGTGATGAGAAGTACCTGTCAATATTGCAACATGTGTGCGATAGAGATAACACAACAAGAAATTGACCTCCGAGGCGGAGATTCGAACCCGTGAGCCCTGGGTTGCTAGCTCGACGCGCTGACCACCTAGCTACCGAGGCTCTCTAGATACTGTGTTAATCTGGCAGATGTGATGATATGCCAATGGACCCACAAGGAATATAGCGGTTTTCTCTACTCAACATGCGCTAGCATGTGAAAAATTCAACTTAATGCTGTCTCCTGGTATTTGCAGCAAGTGTTAATTTTCTTTTTACAATGAATGCTAGAGTTCCTTCTTGGTTGTCTAGTTTTAGAGATGTTTTGGAATGTCCATTTGTTTGAGAAAACAATATTTGCACATTTTCTGGTGCAAGAATAAAAACCTCAAATGATAAATGAATATGCAGTACGTAGATAGTAAAATAGTATAGACATATTGTAGTAAAAGACAAATAAATGAATGCTAAGTAGATGTAAAACTCTGAATGTTTATGTAATTGGGAAGTGAATTTCATCTTTATGGAATGCAAAGCTGTATCTGTTCATACCATGTCATATATAAAAGGAGGCATGCATATGGAAAATCCATCTGCTATATTTTTACAAGCATTATGTGAGATGGCCAAGTTAAAAGGTACTATTCCACACCATAGGTAAATAAAAAAAGTTAGTACTAGCTTATGTTTGTATTGAAAAATGCAATAGATAATAGATTATTACGGGGAGGAAAAGAATGGTTCTCTCAATCAGCATAATTCACCTTAGTTGTTCATATTGAAGTATATAAAAAAATATAAGACAGAATTTACCAAAGATATTTTATGTAATAAATATCTTTAAAAAAACAAGATGTGATTTTTGCAGTTTTCTTTAGATCAAACATCATATACGAGTATATATATATATATATATAAACAGGACCGAGCAAAAGTGGAGAAACATTTGATTTGTTTCAAGATTTTATTAAACTGTTAAAGTAAACTAAACACTTATGTCTTATTATAACTTAATGTAATATGTAATTCAAAGCCAATATGAAAATAAAATTTCTGCTTTAATAAAACTATGCTAACAATTATTATTAGAAAATACAGCAAGCAAAAATAGAGAACAAAATATACAAAGCAAATGTCGTATACAAAGAAGCTAATACTTGGTTGGATAACCTTTATTTTTGATAACTGCCAGACATCTTTTTCTCATAGAACCAATTAGGCAATCTATTGTTTCTTTTGGAATAGTTCGGCACTATTTTTGAACTGTTCTGGATGTTCAGTCCGAATTTTTTTATCAAATCCCATAGGTTCTCTATGGGGTTAAAGTCTGGACTCTGAGCTGGCCACTTAAAGGCATTAAGTACTACTACTATACTATACCATAATTCCTTCAATTTTGACGATGGGTCCCATTTGAAGACCACAGAAGCAACCCCATACTCGAACCTTTCCGGCACCGTGTTTGATTGTGCCCAAAGTGAACTTAGGATCAAATCGCTTGTTTTTAGGACGTCTTACCCATAAAATGCCATCCAATGAAAATAAATCTTTCTTTCATCGGAAAATAATACAGAATTCCACCTTGTTTCTGACCAGTTCAAATGATCGTAAGCAAATTGAAGACGGGCGGTCCGATTTTTCTTGGAAATAAAGGGTTTTTAGATGGTCTCCTTGATGGTAAATCACTCTCTCTTAAACGTCTTCGAACAGTGGGGTCAACAATATTTACTTCTTCAAGTTGAGCTTTTTTGTCAACAGCAGTAGTAAATGGATTTTTAAGAGCAAGTGTTTTAATTTTCTTATCAATCCTAGATGTGGTTTTTCGCGGTCTACCAGTCTTAGGAGGACTTACCAACGATTTTCTGAGGCGGAACAGCTTAATGGTTTTGCAAGTTACCGATCGGCTTAAATTCAGCTGTTTGGCTATGGTTTCTTGTTTAATGCCTGAGCGATATTTTAAAATAATCAATTGTTTCGTTTGCAAATTCAATGTAATTCCTCTGGCCATGTTTTCGAACTACACTTTACCAAATACACTCAAAAATAACACCTATTCTAATCAGGGAAACATATTTACAAAATGTTTCTCTACTTTTGCTGTTGAATAAATAACCGACCGTATTTTATTGAAAAAATAAAGAATGTATACAAAGATAAGCATTTCATTGTCTTGAGGTAGTCATACATAAAAAACTTTAGTGTACAGTTTTGGGTTAGAGTAAATCTTTCTGGATTTTTATTTGTAATGTGGTTTGTTTTTCTACTTTTGCTCGGTACTATGTGTATATGTATATATATATATATATCCGCGGATTTTGCCCATTATTTTCCTATTTTTTGTTTCTCTATATATATATATATATATATTAGTTGTGGTCATTGTTGTCTAAACAACCAGTCAGGTGAGAAAAGCTTCAGTCTTAGTTTAATACTTCAACAAGATTAAAGCAGCGAGTACTCTTTTTACTTTATTTTCGGAAGCTTTAGTAAATTTTGTCATCATCAGAACAGACTAAAAACTTGAGGAGTGATTGTTAAAATTTTTACAATATTACATCATGAAAAACAATCTGGTTGCTTCACAAGATGGTGCATGAGACCTCAAGTTTGTATCCATTGATTTGTTTCTGACATACAAATGTGTGTTTGTACATATATTTTAAGGAATATACCATGGATCCAACTTTCACCAGACTACTAAATGTTCTCATCAACTCAATTAATAATAACAATCTCACATACTGCACAAGCTTGAGAAAATAAAGTAAAAAGAGTAATCACTTTAACCTTGTCGAACAACCCAACTAAAGGCTGAAGCTTTTCCCACCTGAGCTATATATAAAAAAATAACGAACAAAATCCGCGAAAAGATGGACTCGAGTAGAAAATATGATTTTGCCTATTACTTTTCTATTTATTATACAGGGTGGCGCAGAGGAAACGCATGTTTTCTGACCGAATGGTATTTCGCACAGAATAGGGATATGACCTCGCCGCACCGCCAGCAGAGAACACATGCGATGCAGTTTCAACCATGGCACCGTGGATGACGGAGCATCGTGTGTTTGCCGTCGAGCAATTTTTTCGAAACGATGATTCTGTAGTGATCGTGCAACGTTTATTCCGTCGACAGTTCAATGTTGAACGCCACGGGCCAATTCCAGATCGAAACACAATACTCCGATGGGTTGAAGCATTTCGAAGTACTGGATCCGTAATGAAGAGGAAGCCACCTGGCCTTCCCCGTACCGTGCGGACTCCAGGCAATATCGAAACAGTGAGAAGAGCGGTCCTTGATAGTCCCCAACGGTCCACTAGGCGCCAAGCTCCAACTCTGCGTATGTCCCGTCGGTCGTTACAACGCATTCTGCATGACGATTTACAATATCATCCGTACAAGATAATGATCGTGCAAGAGCTAACGGACAGCGATTTTGCACAGCGTAGAGAATTTTGTGCGAGAATGCGGGCCATTTTTGCTAACGATCCTGACGTCGTCATAATGATGAGTGACGAAGCACACTTCCATTTAACAGGATATGTAAACAAGCAGAACTGTAGGTATTGGGCGGCCGAAAATCCACGAGAGCTACACCAACGACCCTTGCATAGTCAAAAATTAACTGTGTGGTGCGGAATCAGTAAATTAGGTATCGTTGGTCCTTACTTTGTTGAAGAGGAAGAAAGAGCAGTAACAGTTACTTCAGCACGTTATGTTCACATGTTACAAAATTTTCTGTTACCCGAACTTCAACGGCAACAAGTAAACATGGGAGAGCTGTGGTTCCAACAAGACGGTGCCACAGCTCACACAGCGAGAGCATCAATGGAATGGATTCGACAGATGTTTCCTGAACATGTGATTTCCCGTTTCGGCGATGTCCCTTGGCCCCCACGCTCCCCAGATTTGTCCGCATGCGACTTCTTTTTGTGGGGTACCTTAAGGATAAAGTGTACCCTCACAAGCCTCGTACGTTACAGGAACTGAAAATTGCTATTCGTCAAGAAATTGCAAGAATACCACAAGAAATGATTTTACGTGTAATGCACAACTTTCAAGAGCGGTTGGAGATGTGCGAGCGCGAAGCAGGGCGACACTTGAGTGACGTTATTTACCATCATTAGTTTAAAAGTGCACTATCATTACTTTATTTAGCTGTAACTGAAACAAAGTTATCTTGAAAATAAAAAATGTTATGCTTAGGTGAAAATCGTGCGTTTCCTCTGCGCCACCCTGTATATCTTTTTCCACATGATCCTTTTCTCTCTATATACATATTTTTATTTCACATTAACCCATTATTTTTATGAAGTATTTAAAAGAATCAGACTTACCCTCATCTGACTTTTTCTTTTTACTCAGATCTTTGAAAATAGAAATTATGTTAACAGCAAGAGTAGGGAATGCAATCCCGGTATTTGCGGGATTGGACATTTTCGATCCCGCGGGATCCAGGTATTTGCAGGATCCCGCATGAATAATAAAACTTCGCAAATAATTTATAACTTCTGATGGTACTTAATGAAACAAATCCAATTGTATAATCAATGTTTTTTAATAATTAGCTTACTTATTCAAAATTGACAAAGCTAGAAAACTAGAGATTATTTTGAAATTAAAATTGATAAAAGTAGAAAACTAAACATTTATTTTGAAATAAAAATTGAAAAAAGTAGGAAACGAAACATTTTGAAATTAAAATTGACAACATTAGAAAACTAAACCATATTTTTAAAATAACTTCCCAAAAACGTTAAGGTGTTGATGGTTTCATCTGCTAAATGGCTCCTGACCTTACAAAATATATGACCAGCAGCAGAAAATGCTCGTTCTGCTTCTAGGTTTGTAGGAACGATCGTCATTAAGGCGTTATAAAAATTTAAGTTATGTGCCTTTTTATCCACCTGACTCAAAATAACTCATTTCCTTCCTTATTAAAATATCGAGATTATTATGGCCAGATCTAACTTGGGGTGTTCCAGTAGATTTTAAATTCGTCAGTCAGCTCGACTTCGTCTTGAAATGACAGTGCTGTTACAGTTGCTGGTGAATTTGACTCCAGATTGGCGAGAGGTAGGTTGTCTTCAGATTCAGAGTCATCAGCAGAAGGAGCAATGTGTGTTACTTCTTTTTTATTGAATTGTACTCTGTCTACAATAGTTTTAATCACCTGTTGTATTACCTTCTGTGAGGGTAAGTGAAATGTATCATACATAAGTTCAGTCCTATTTTCTTCGTACTTAAACGGATCATGTAAGTACATTATTACCGCAGTCAAGTTAGTTCCCGCTCTGCAATTCATTTACTCAATGAGGTAACAAATCTTTTGGCTAACGGTTTGTCAAAGTCTTCCAATTTATGAACAACAAACTTCAAAGTAGTTTCGGCAGTCACCAAATTAGAGTCTCGCCTGCACAAGACTTCGACAGCTAGCTTTACAGGTTTATCACTATTTATTGCATTTACTATTTATCTATTTAAAGCTTGACAAATAATTCGTTGCGTTGCGTTTGTTTGCGTCATCAAAATAAAACTAGCAAAAATCGTATATAAACAGAAACACTTCGTTTGGGTATCCCCTCGCGCGACCCGTGTTTCTGTTTCCGAGTGCAAGCAAGCAACCAAAGTGATTGTCATTCGTCAGTCGGCGCGCACGCGCTGCCGTGCGCTATGTAACACATGAATCTTGCTTTTCTTCAATCCCGTTAATCCCGTGCTCATTTTACTAATGGGATTAATCCTGCACATGGCATTGGGAGATCCAGGTATTTCGGATCCTGGTATTGCATTCCCTAAGCAAGAGCACAGTCAAGTATTTAAAATAAGAATAGTCCTTACCGAAAATATTAACCCATTATTTTTGTGAACTATATAAAAGAATCAGACTGATCCTCATCTGACTTTTTTTTGTTTTTACTCAGATCTTAGAAAATGAAAATATGTTATGCTAATGGCAAGAGCATAGTAAACTATTTGAAATAAGATTAGTCCTTACTGAAGAGCAGACTTAGAAATATTTGTTATTAATTAAACTTTGAAATGTTTCTCATTTTATGTCATATGCCCATGGTAAGAGTATTAGCTTAATACCTTTGGATATTTTATTGGTGTTTAAGAGAATAAATACCATTATGTGATATGACAGATGATGCATATATACAAAGTATTAAATTAGCACATTAGCACAAAACAATATGAATACAGAATCTCACCTATGTGCAGGCTGATGAAAAGGATTGTAGTGGTTATAATAGTTGTCACCACCTCCATAATAATCATGTCTCATCCTCTTGGGAGCAGGTTCCATACTTGGGGAATATCCTCTATCCCTTATTCCACTTCTGTACTCCCGAGGACGTGGCCTGGTCCATGACTCTCTGCAAAGGATTTTTTCAAAATCTAAGTCAAATTATATTTTCTAGTTATGGAGAAGATCTAATTTCATTTTGAGGTGCTGAAATTGAGGTGCTATCAGACACCCAAGTGTCATTTGTCTGTCTAGGGTTTTGTGTGCATTAAAAGTTCACACTAAATTTTTTGTTAGCAGTGTGAGCTATGGCCTTGAGTATCTATGAACTTGCCCCACCATGTTATCACTCAACAGAGGGTTGTTCTGCAATTCCGCATGACTAACATTATTTCATCTAGAGCTTGTCATAATCCCACAAGTAAGGAATGTTAAGGTAGATACTGCTATGTAGTGTCTCATTTGAAACATAGTTTGCGGCACTGGAAATTGTAAAATCTTGCTTAGCAGTACATGGTGAGAATACAGCAAGCTGCACATAATGGCTGGTCAAATAATCTTTTATATCAGAACTAATTTGGATGTCCTACATAAAAAAGGATATAGTTGTATGTTTCTTCCAGGTCATGCCTCTATCAAGAGTAGCCCTAATGAAGCTAGTATAGTAAAGAAATACTTACCTCTCTGACCATTCATCCCTTGGTCTAGCGACCCTCTCAGACCCCCTATAGCTGGCTTCGGCTCGCTCACCGCGAAACTTATCCCTCCGCTTTCTATCGTACTCATCGTCGCTATCACCCATTTTTCCACCTGAAACTCAACCAACAGCTTGATATCGGTGACGTTCGAGTCTTTCAAATTCAAGAGAAATCTATCCTCAATCTCCTGCAGGCTTACTGAAATTAGTACTTACAAGGATTAAGCTGTAAGCTTGGAGTGTAAACTATTCAATGAAACGGGAGAAGCGAAATTCTGATGAAAACTCAAATAACTGGAAATCTCTAAGCTTAATGGCTGCGGAAATCAAGAAAAATGCCACACGATAACAGAACACCACAGATCACAGATCACAAAACACCTACAACAAATGACAATTGACATACTGACAAGATAAAAAGACCAAAGGCGTATTTTTTAATTCCCCGGTTGAGCCACCGGTGCAAGTCTTATGTGTTTTGTGGGTCAACCAATTATCCAATTTTACTTCCTTTAATGTCCGTGTGAGCGACAGGTTGTACACCAAACTTGTATATACGAGCCCCTTCCCACTTTTGAACTATCGAACTATTTAAATCTTAGTTTTTTTTCTTATCAAACACAAATAATAAAAATGTAGCAGGGTGTTATAGGTTTAAAATATTATAATAATAACAATGAATATTTTGATAATACGTAGTCGTGCCATAAGTTCTGTCCCATGATAATCTCATGATAAAAATGAAACAAGATAAGATATATTTATATGAAAGATATTATTTATTCGACAACATTTTTAGAATTCATAATCAAACAGTTTTATTCAAAATGTCCCCCCTTGGCCTTCACACACTGCTTCAATCTCGCGGGCCACTCATCTATCACTGCACGCACAGCTTCCAAAGGAATAGCTGCCGCTGATCGGATCAAATCCGCTTTCAGGGACTCGATATTACGGTGGGCTTTGGAGCAGGCCAACTGCTCTAGCAGGTCCCACAACTTGTAGTCTAAAGGATTGAGGTCCGGACTCCCTGAGGGCCAATCTTCCGCAGCAATGAACTCTGGCACATTGCTTTCCAGCCAGCGCTGCGTACTCTTAGCCTTGTGAGCGGGGGCGGAATCCTGCTGGTAGACCCAGTGTTGGTTGGCAAACAATGTACCACTTAAAGGCTTGACGATAGGATCCAGTATGTCGCTCTGATAGTTTGCCGCTTTTGTTTTCACGCCCTGTTTACAGAAATGGAGCTGAGTGACCCCTTCGTAGGACACCCCCCACCAAACCATGACTGACGCAGGGTGGTGGCCTCTCTCAACTGTCGGAATGATCTCCGAAGCTTCCTGTGAACTCCTTGCATACACTTTGTCATTTTGTCGGTTGAATTTTTCTTCTATGGTGAAGATTTTCTCATCCGTGAACAAAATCTTTCGGAATCCCCCAGCTGCGTACCTCTCCAAGAGCTTCTTGGATCTTGTCGCCCTGATGTGTCGCAAGGTGGCCGTAAGTCGCTGGCCCGTACGTCTCCGGTAAGCCCCTAGCCCTAGGTCTTGTTTAATGATGCGCGACATCGTCCGGACAGGAATCTTCATTTCCCTGGATAGGATCTTCTGCTTCCGGAGTGGACTCCTTTGAATCCTGGCTTTTACGGCTTTGATGGCTGCTGGAGTCCTTACTTGACGAGGTCTTCCGCTTCTTGGCCTGTCATCAACAGAGGACGTCTCATTGTACCGCTGAATGGTCCTAGACACAAATTTACGCGATATTTGAAGGCCGCGTAAGAGTTCAAAAATCTGACTAGCACTGTGATTACACTTATGTAAAGCTATCACTGCAATACGGTTCTCTGCCTTGCCCCACTCCATCGTTATGCTTCGAGAGATCAATACAAACTGAGGTATATGTAATTACCCGAAAAGCGCTTAATCAACTGACACCACAATGTAAACAATCGGACAAGTATTAACAGGTCTACACTTGTTTGAAAACGAGGGACAGAACTTATGGCATGACTACGTATATAGTAGAAAACACCAACTTTATCACTCCCTAATCAAATTTGCAGCATAAAAATAACACATGTTGCAATTACAGCATTTCAACCTATTTTCATTTCAATGCAAAATAAGTCTATAACATATAGGTGGCTGTGAAAAATAAAAGCCATGATAATTGTTTTTATTAATCACAGCTGTCAGAATACGTTTAAAACAGTTTTGGGTGGTTAAAGTTTTCAAAATGGGTAGAGGAAAGGTTATTAGTGAGAAAATTCGGTTACTGATAATTAAATTTTTTAATTCTGGGAAATCAAACTCAGAAATTGCAACTTTGTTAGACTTATCGCGGTACAGTGTGAGAAATATTGTTAGAAGATATAACGTAACTGGTTCAGTTAATATTAAGCCACGATATGTGAAAAAAAGTAATATCACAAATGCCGACCGAAGAGCATTAAGAAGAATAATCGTGAAAAACAGGCGTGCCAATTATTTACAATTAAGTGCTCTGTGGAGTGACGCTGTTGGAAGGAGAATTTCGAGGTCCGCAACTCATAGAGAGGCCCACAAACTGGGATTTAGCACTTGCAAGGTAAGTTTTCTTATAAAACAAAGTGAAGTAAAAACTCCAAAGTTGCACAACTTGTTTATAGGCCAAAGAAAAGCCACTATTAATGCCACTGCAAAATAAAAATCGGCTTAGATGAGCTAAAGAACATAGACAATGGACACCTAAACAATGGTGTGCAATACAATGGAGTGATGAGGCCCGATTCGAAGTTTGTGTTGGTGACAGTCGCAGTAGAGTTATTCGCAAAAAAATGAAGCATTCCATGTTGACTGTCTGAAGAGAAAAGTGAAATTTCCAGTATCCATTATGGTCTGGGGCAGTATGTCATCAAAAGGAAAGGAAGAAAAGGAAGAATGTTTGACATCCGGCCAAGATTTTGTGTTTCAGCAAGACGGTGCGGTGTGCCATACCTCAAAAAAGGCTATAAAATGGGTGGAAGAAAATAATGTACCACCTTTGAAATGGGTTTCTAGCAGTCCAGATCTGTCACTTATTGAAACTTTGTGGCACGAGATGAAAAAGTTTCTACGACAATATCCTGCTCGTACAATCACCGAACTGAGACAAAAGCTTCAAGAAATATAGAATTGTTTTATACGAAATTTTAGGCAAAACTTGGTTAACACTATGCCCCAAAGAATTTCAGCCGTAAGAAAAAATAAAGGTGATGTTACCCAATGGTAATCTTTCAATTGTTGCTTTGTTAACTTCGCGCATTGTCTTTTTGTTCAGATGTTCTATTAGTTATAGATCTAAGTGATTGCAAATATGTATTTTTTTACGACTAGAGTGTATCTAAAATGTTTTTGAGAAAATAAATTGTTTTAGAAGTAAATAGTTTCGTCATGTTTAGTTTATAAAGGCATATTTTGGTACAAATCTTGATGTGGGCCAACTGAAGTGGGAAGGGGCTCGTATAGTTCATAGACAATTTAGGTATATTCTTTAATTCACCGGTTGATTCCATCACTGATGGATCCGGTGAACTCATGGTTGACAGCTGATGTGATGACGTTAGCAACCGGTACCGTTGAATGGTCGTTAATAAAAAGACGCATTTTTAGCCTTCAGGTTGTTGTCATATGAGAAAACCTAACCTTTGTTTTATCGTAAATGGATACTTGTTAATTTGAACACCGTATCATTTAAAATGATTATGGAAATGTACGCAGCAGTTGGTATTGTCGTGGAATGTTTGTTAAGCCATTCGAGTGATGATTCTGATGAAGAAGTTATCCAGCGGAGAGAATTTGCGCTCCGAGAATCAATATAAGAACTATAAATCAGGAAACCAAGAAATTTTCAGATATCGACTATCTCAAATCAATACAAGGCATTGATTTGTGATCGTCGATGCTTCCCGAATAAGAACCATCGATATGGATTTTCTGAGAGCATTCCTGTAACCATACTGGAATAAAAATAGAACAAAATCAGAAAATCGACATTTTCGGACTTACGAGGTATTGATTTGAGATCGTCGATATGCATAATTGTGTTGAAAAAAAAACATAAAACTTCACGCGACTCCTATGCTGCTAACTACAATCTTTTCTTCTTCCATTTTTTCACACAAAACAGTAGTTGTCAAAAACTGATAAAATGCAGAGGTTAGAATATCGTGGATCAACCGAGTCCGAACGTCGGTGGATGCTGTTGGCACCGGTGGCATATCCACCATCAATATAGAGACAAGTTTGATGTACAACCGGTCGTTCTAGCGGACATTAAACTACGCAAACTTGGCTAACCCCTTGCACCGGTAGCTCAACCGGTGAAGTAAAGAATATACCTTTTTGGTGTACAACCGGTCGCTCAGACAGAAATTGAAGGAAGTAAAATTGGATAATTGGTTGCACCGGTGGCTCAACCGGTGAATAAAAAAATACGCCTGACACAAGACTGACGTGTGACAATTTAACATGACAATTATATCAGTGTGTTTTGTGCTGCAATGTCAAAATGTGGTCTAATTTGTCAATTCTTTCTTTTCTGTCATGAATTTTGTGATTGTCGCTAATATTTTTTATTAGGGCCGCAAATTTTCATTTATCAGCCTCATCTGCAAGCATATTTGTGCATTTTCCTTTAATACATAAAGTTTTAAACATGACTGACAAGGTTTGTATAATATTTCTTCGGAATACCCCCATTTTTTTATAGTTTTAGAAAACATTTGTTTAGTATAGGTTAAGTTTATATTTTTGCTAAAATCAGGGATACTTTCAGGTTGAAGAACAAGTCAAGAAGAAGAGGACTTTTAAAAAGTTCACCTATAGGGGCGTGGATCTTGATCAACTCCTTGACATGCCCAAGTAAGCCCTATTTTAAGCTAATTTCTATTGTGATCACAACATTCTTTTTTTTGTAGTGAACAGCTAATGGAGTTAATGCATTGCCGTGCAAGAAGGCGCTTCACCCGCGGTCTAAAACGTAAACCAATGGCTCTGGTGAAGAAACTCCGTAAAGCAAAGAAGGAAGCTCCTCCCCTAGAAAAACCAGAGATTGTAAAGACCCATTTACGAAACATGATCATTGTTCCAGAAATGGTTGGATCTATTGTTGGTGTTTACAATGGAAAAGCCTTCACACAAGTAGAAATCAAGCCTGAGATGATTGGACATTACCTTGGGGAATTTTCTTTAACTTACAAACCTGTTAAACATGGTAGGCCAGGTATTGGTGCTACTCACAGTTCCAGGTTTATTCCTCTAAAATAAGATTGTTAAATAAACTATATCAATAAATAAAATCTTTTCCAGAAACGAGCAGCCTTTTGTTATACCAAAGTGAACCAACAATATAGTGTTCCAATTTGTGGTCTTTTCCATGTTGAAAGTCTGATTACATATATATATATATATATATAATCCTGTTTAGTGTATATTCTATAGCAGGGCTGTCCAACTTAATGTGGCCCAAGGGCCACTTAAAAAAAATGCAATTTGGAGCGCCGCATTATAAAATCTTTCTATACAACATTATTAGAGAGTTAATGTAAGAATTGTGCATATTCGGTATTTGAAAGTAATGTATACATGACCCGTGAACCGGGCTGTATGATGGACAGCCCTGTTCTATAGGCTTCTCAGCTATCAGCACCTTAGATGAATTTGATTTTGAAGATGGGCGATTTGTACTTTGTATCCAGGATTCTATGATTTGGCAACATCCAAAACGTCAAATGGAAAGATATGGTTCTGTGGTTCCATGTCGGCCAGTGTGAAGTAATTGTTTTTGTTTGATGTTCAAAATGTCTGCAATCATTATAAACTAAATATTAGGTCTTCAAGGAAGATTGTATTGGAATATTCACCATCGTGCAGATTCTGTTTAAGCCACAGATTTCAAATATACATTGCAAAAGTGACAGTTTAAAGGAGGAAGATTTGAGAGCATTTCCTGGAAAAGTGACAGGATATTAGAATTCCGACGGCTCTGTCCAGTTTTCTCCCGTGCGAATTGTAAACACGTCGTAGCGATGAATTTATCACTTGTTGAGCTGAATTGTGAATTGTGACTTGCATCAAAATGTCATCGGCATCAACAAGCTGATTACTGGCTGCTTCTATCTATATCACTAAAAAAGGTAAAATAAGATATTTTGTCATGCATGTAGTTGCTAGAGGATCTTTTAGCGCGGAGTACAGTTTCTCTAACACTCTTCTTATCAACTGAGCATTTTGGGAATCCTACTGAAGTCAAAACATTTTTTTCATACCTTGTTTACATTCCCTTAGAAAGTACTGTGGGATGTTGTCAGATCAATCCAGCCATCATAAATCCTATGGAGCTATTAATGTCTACTTCTACTCCAGAATATGTATATTGATCAGAAGCCTGTTAGCATAGTGATATATCAGATTTTCAAATTTGGAACATGTGAATATAGAGGAAGTTTTGTCTTTTTGATTCATTATAAGGCTTTTCCTTATCGTTAGCATACACACAACACATGCGGGATGGCAGAAATTGTAGTGTTTGTCCTGACTTCTCAAGCCACAAATAATAATCCACTTTGTCCAAGGGTAATCATTATTGCTTTTTTTGAGATGTCATGAATATTAATTGCCAAACACTTTAAAGCCAGGAGGGGATCATAGAACTTCCATTCTTTTATAGACAAATTAAAACACTTATGCAGAAATTCACTCTTTACTGATGTTTAGATCATCATTAAAAGTACAGATCAATTGCTTTAATGTTACTAAAGCCTAATTACCTCTGCTGTCTTTTGGTTGGCAAGAAAGAGACACTTTTATCAGCATGACAAGCACAGGATATGTTTCAGAAGTTATGTTAAACTATAAAGTAAAAATAAATGATAAAAGTTGCTCTACATTCACACATATGAGCTGTTTTCCAAGTTTTGAGACTCATCATGCATTGATGTTCTTTCACAACTCACTTTTGAGGTGTCTTGCTGCATTGGGCACCTGCATAGTAATAGGAGATTCATTGCTGAATAGTTAAGAAGGATCACATATCACTTTCAAAAAAAGTTATGAAAATGACCTAAAAATATTCTTCAAAATCTTAACTCGGTCATATTTCACCGGCACTCAAGTTTCAAAATATGATTTGGATAGAGAAGTGGGCATGACAGGTTAATGACAACAGGCCATAAATGCCTGAGCACTCAACAGACAAAATGAAGCAGCGAGGTCTTCATGTTTGTTATGATGCAGAGGTTTCTACATCACCTAGGAGATTCTTAACTGAACTTAAAATCTTGTCTGATTTCAGGGAATATTAAAATGACGCCACCGGTTGAAGAGGCACGTAGGAGATCAGCATCTGACTACCGATTTGGTAAAGTGTTGGGAGAAGGTAGTTTCAGTACTGTTTATCTTGCGAAAGATATCCACACAAACAAAGAATATGCAAGTAGGTATATTTTACTTTACTTAATTTAAATGATCATTATGTTGTTGACCAAATATGAGGTCATAAATCGAAGTAGATTTTCCTTGGAATATTGTGTACTAATGAGAAGAATTCAGCACTGAGGGGATTACTTTATTGTTATTCATGGGAATGTATAGCACATTTCATATTTATTTATTCTTATAGTGTCTTCAGATTTATCCAACTATAATATGACACTAAATAAATATAAAAGAGGAGTAACATTCACAGCAATTCTCTTCCTTGGCCCCCAATGTCATCAAAAATAAGCAAAGCTAAGACCCCCTTTGGCACTCATGCAATACTTGAATGGCCCAATGTTGCCAGTAGGAAGTTTCACAATAGAGTTTTCCAAATTTGGGAGGGAGTACCAGGGACTGTGTTGCTCTACATCAACAATCTGTCCCAGATGCTGCAGGGGACTGAATGTGTTTTATATGCAGACAACACATCATCAATAACAATAACTTGAGAGCTTTTCCAAAGTACCTAAAACGCGAAATGCTTTCACGGAACAGAAAATCCACTGATAAATAGTCATTACCACAATACTCGCGGCAAAAATAAAATTAAAGCCAGCTATGACGATTTGCAAAATCCTGTGTATAATAATCCGAACCGACAAATTCAAGTCTGTAACAAAAAATTATCATTGGAGAATGTATTTTACAAGCTCAATAAAACTTGTTGCAGAAATCTGAAACTCTCATCTAATTGTAATGAAGTCATAATTAGTTCAGTAACATTGTATTATTTTGCAGTAAAAGTTTTGGAGAAAGCACACATAATTAGAGAGAAAAAAAGTGAATATGTAATGCGAGAGAAAGAAGTTTTAAGAATACTTGGAAGTTCCTGTCCATACTTTGTCCGTTTGTATTGGACATTCCAGGACTCGGAACACCTTTACTTTGTACTTACATATGCTAAGAATGGCGAATTGCTAAAGCAGATCGACAAATGTGGCTGTTTCACTATAGAGTGTGCCAGATATTACGCTGCTGAAATGGTATTAGCTCTGGAATATCTTCATGGGAAAGGAATTGTACACAGGTAAATAGGTCTAGCATGATCCCAGTTTGTTTTTCTGGCAAAAATATTCTTCAATACACATGTTCGGTTCTTTTCATCAATTAACTTAGAACAGTCCTGAATTGTTATTTATAGTGGAACCGATACGTTGAGGGCAAGGCTAAGCAACACCACATCATTAATTTGTTTGGATGACTGTGTTTGATAATAATAATAATAATAATAATAATATTTATTTCAAAATAACAGTGCAGAATTACAACATAATGTCCGCTGTCAGGTGAAATATATGTCACATAATGTCATAATATCAAACAAATGCAGGAAACAAAAATAGTGTCTAAATATTACAATATTACACAATGTTTCTTTTACATTTCTAGATATTCATCGAGCCTATATGGCTCTAGATTCATTAGTAACTTGTGGATACATTTCTTGAACTCTTATATTCGACAACTTTTTAACTTTTTGGGGTAACTTATTGTAAAGCTTTGCACAACTGTAACGTACGTTTTTCTCGGTAACAGTTAGATGATGAATTGGGTACAAAAAAGTTATATCTCTGTTCCTTGTATTGTAATTGCCTGGGATTCTTATAAAGTACCCAATATTTTTAAATGTAAAAATCAATATTTCCTGAATATATATTGCCACTATGGTGCGTATTTTATTCCCTTTAAATTTTCCTTTACATGTTTCTCTACGCGTAATTTTTAACATGTATCTCAATGCTCGTTTCTGTACCCGAAAGAGCCTGTTCATCTGGCTACTGTGTCCGTAAAAAATTATACCAAAACGTGCAATGGACTCTAAAGTTTTCATGGTAAACAATTTTTAGGGTCTTAAGGTCTAGGTACTTATTTAATATCCTAATACTACAAGTGCTGTTTAACCGTTTTTCTGGATGTTCCACTTCAGTTGGCCCACTTCAAGATTTGTATCAAAATATGCCTTTATAAACTAAACATGACGAAACTATTTACTTCTAAAACAATTTATTTTCTCAAAAACATTTTAGATACACTCTAGTCGTAAAAAATACATATTTGAAATCACTTAGACCTATAACTAATAGAACATCTGAACAAATAAACAATGTGCGAATAAATGCGCGAAGGTAACAAAGCAACAATTGAATGATTACCATTGGTAACATCACCTTTATTTTTTATTACGGCTGAAATTCTTTGGGGGCATAGTGTTAACCAAGTTTTGTCAAAAATTTGGTGTAAAACAATCCCATATTTCTTGAAGCTTTTGTCTCAGTTCGGTGATTGTATGAGCAGGATGTTGTCGTAGAACCTTTTTCATCTCGTGCCACAAAGTTTCAATAGGAGACAGATCTGGACTGCTAGAAATCCATTTCAAAAGTGGTACATTATTTTCTTCCATCCATTTTATAGCCTTTTTTGAGGTATGGCACGCTGCACCATCTTGCTGAAACACAAAATCTTGGCCAGATGTCAAACATTCTTCCATCACTAGTAAAAGCGATTCTTCTAAAATTGCCATATATTTGTTTGTATCCACATTTCCATCAATAAAATGTTTTCCTACTCATTTTGATGACATACTGCCCCAGACCATAATGGATGCTGGACATTTCACTTTTCTCTTCAGACAGTCAACATGGAATGCTTCATTTTTTTGCGAATAACTACTGCGACTGCCACCAACATAACATTCGAATCGGGCCTCATCACTCCATTGTATTGCACACCATTGTTGAGGTGTCCATTGTGTATGTTCTTTAGCCCATCTAAGCCGATTTTTCTTTTGCAGTGGAGTTAATTGTGGCTTTTCTTTGGCCTATAAACAAGTTGTGCAACTTTAGGGTTTTTACTTCACTTTTTTTATAAGAAAACTTACCTTGCAAGTGCTAAATCCCAGTTTGTGGGCCTCTCTATGAGTTGTGGACTTCAAAATTCTCCTTCCAACAGCGTCCACAGAGCACTTAATTGTAAATAATTGGCACGCCTGTTTTTCACGATTATTCTTCTTAATGCTCTTCGGTCGGCATTTGTGATATTACTTTTTTCACATATTGTGGCTTAATATTAACTGAACCAGTTACGTTATATCTTCTAACAATATTTCTCACACTGTACCGCTATAAGTCTAACAAAGTTGCAATTTCTGAGTTTGAATTCCCAGAATTAAAAAATGTAATTATCAGTAACCGAATTTTCTCACTAATAACCTTTCCTCTTCCCATTTTGAAAACCTTAACTACCCAAAACTATTTTAAAGCGTATTCTGACAGCTGTGATTAATAAAAACAATTGTCATGGCTTTTATTTTTCACAGCCACCTATGCGTTATAGACTTATTTTGCATTGAAATGAAAATAGGTTGATATGCTGTAATTGCAACATGTGTTGTTTTTATGCTGCAAATTGATTAGGGAGTGATACAGTTGGTGTTTTCTACTGTATGTTATCAAAATATTCATTGTTAATATTTTAAACCTATAACACCCTGCTACATTTTTATTATTTGTGTTTGATAAGAAAAAACTAAGATTTCAATAGTTGGGCCAACTGAAGTGGGAAGGGGCTCGTACATTTGTAGCCCAGGAAAGTCCTTGGTCAATATACATGTACACTCCTAAGAATCTACCAGAGTCTGTCAGCTTGACTTCTACCCTATCAGCTAAGTGGATCTTCTTAGCTTCGATTTTTTTTCTTTAATTTGAATATTATTGCATTTGTTTTTGATGTGTTCAAGGATAGACCATTGCGAGCAAACCACCAAAATGCTTTCTCGCATATGCTCAATGTATTTTTGGCTACTTGGTTGAAATCTTGGCCAGCTATAATCACACTAGTATCATCTGCATATTGAATAGTGCATACATTATTCGGGTTTGCTATACTATCACTCAGATCCTTTACAAACATCACAAAGAGTAGAGGACCCAAGACGCTTCCTTGTGGGATACCTCTATCTACTGTTAACGGCGATGAGACAGCTGTCATGCCTTCTTTATGATGGAAACACTTTGTTGGCGGTCTGTTAAATAAGACCTGACCCAGTTCCGGGCACTTCTCCTTATCCCAAATGCCTCAAGTTTACTCAGTAAGAGAGAATGTTCTACACAACCAGATGCTTTGGAGAGATCAAAAACAAACCCAGTGATCCCATATTATTTTCCAGACATTCTACAATACTGTGGCTGAAGGAGTATATAGCCGTATTTATCGATTTCCCTTTTATAAAGCGAAGATGCGGTTCAGCAATTAAGTTATTACAGAGCACGTGATACATAATTCGTGAATACATCACCAGTTCGAAAAGCTTTGCAAAGTAAGAAAGTAGGCTTATTGGTCTATAGTTTACCAAGTCATTAGGGTCTCCTTATATACCGGAAAGATTATGGCGAATTCCAGATTTTCAGGAAAAATACCATACATAAGTGAATTATTTATTATGTAAACTAGGGGTTCAAGAATCACTTTCAAAGAATATTTCAGAATATTAGCTGGAATACCATCTTTGCCACTACTCATTTTGTTTTTAATTTTATCCCCCAGCTCCAATATTTCTTGAGCACTGACATATTCTAGCGGCGTACACTGTTCCGCATGGCGTAAAAAGTCAGAAGGTGTTTGTGGTAATAATTTAGCGACTTCATTTATACAATATTCATTGAGCGCATGTGTAGTAATTTCAGCATCACCTGGTATGACACAATCATTTCTAGTTTGACCTTTTATTTCCTTTACAATACCCCAAACACGTTTTGACTTATTGTCCGACTCTATGCGTCTTTGATATGACTTATATCTGGCATCTGCTAATAATTGATTGTACTCTAATATAAATTTATTATAGCATCGCTTATAAGAGTTGTCACTGTTGCTAATCACATATAGAACATCCATTCCTTAATATTAGTCTTTATACTCTCAGGATGATGCGAGTCAGTGAACCTATTCGTAACTTTAAATGTTTTCATAGGAAAGACCTGTTCAAAAATAGATTGGAAAATATTGCTGAAATAATTCCACTGTTCATTTACATCATTCCGAGGTATATGAAACACATTTTGCCAGTCTACAGATTTGAGTCTACATAAAAATCTTTCTTTATTTTCTACAATGAATATCCTTTTCTTCACTGGATTAGCAGGTTTATTCATGTTACCGTTATTTTTTGAGCAGTGTGGTCTGAGATTGATGAATTAATGATATTTGAGTTCAGGAGTGAACATAATAGCTGTTTGTTAGGGCTATCCGTATGAAAAATCTATATTGCAATCGCCAGCTATGAAAATTGAGGCACTATCATCACGGATTTTTGAGAGAATTTGTTCCATTTTTTCTAAAAATACATGCATATTACCTGTATATTGACAATATTATAAAATTCATACCATTCAGAGAGCATTTCACATCCGCGCATTCAAGGAACCAACCACTGATAATGACCTTATATCTGACCTTTCTAAACACTGAACTGCTAGGCTCATAAAACTTCCACCATGTTTCCCTTCTTTCCTGCAAAAACAAGATGCAAGTTTGAAGTCTCTAGTTCCATAGTTGATGATCTTGTCTTGTCTCTTCCAGTGCTCTGTTATGCAAATAAATTTAAAGTCGTCGTGGTCCATCAACATCTGGTTTATCTCGTTTAATGAGTTTCCAAGAGACTGAACATTTTGATGGAGTAGGGCTATTTTGGCGAGGTTCTCCTTCTGTTTGGTAGTCTTATCTTTGGAGCAGCTTTCAGATCTTACTGTATCAATTGATACATTTATTATTGAAAATCCGGGGCATAGTTGATACTGTTCCTAAACCTGATAACTCTTGATTTATAAACAGGGCAGTTTGGATCACGAGCATAATGATTATGATCATAATACTTCATTTTTTGGCTATTCGAACATTGAAAGTTTACTATTTGACAATTTGCAGCTTCACGACTGCCGGAACATTTGCGATATCGGGTGGTGCTTGAAGTATCCAGTTTTCTTTGGCTGGATTACGAGATTACGACAATTCCTTTTTGTGATGATCTTTACTTTTTCTGCCACTGTACAATTCAATGTTCAGTCTTATAAGTTCTTGTATGAAGTCTTTAGCTTCGTAACCTTTTTCAATGCCAGTGATTATGAACATTGGATTCATTTTTCATTTTCTCTAATTTTTATATCTTTTTTATCTCTTAATATATTTTTTTAGCTTTTGTTGTTGAGTTTTATTATAGCTTTCCACAACAACTGCCCCAGATTGTAACTGTGTAATACTTTTAAAGCCTCCATCAGTGTCCTTCAGCATTAATTCTTGTTTGAGTCTATGTACCACTATTTTCGGATTTTCTGTTTCCTCCATTCTTATAATCGTTTCGTGCTTCCTGTTTTCTGGTGGAGTTTCCCATAGTTCGTTTATTTTTTTCTTTGGTTCTTCAGAGAGACTTGCCGAGTTCGCCCTTACAATGCTTACATAACTTCTTAGTTCTGGTACTTGTGTCCTTACTGTTGCTTGGTTACCTGAATCTCAGTTGAGCTTACGGTTGCTCCACCAGACAGTTCATAGTGTCTTAGTTTTGTCTCTTCTACTTTAGCTGTTAATGCTAAATTTTCTTTTTCAAGCTGACTGACTTTATACACTACTCGAGTTAATGATTTATGTAGATTTATGCTTGCATACATAACAGATGTCTTATCTTGCATGCTAAATGGGTTTTTTGTCAGATCTTTATCAACAACTTTGTTTATACTGTCAATTTCCTCAAAAAAGTTCTGTATTAGTTCCTCATTCATAATACTCTGATATTGATAGCATTGCCGTTTACCAATGTTTTCCATTTCCCTAACTAGTATCATCATTTCCGCTCGTTTCTGTTCCGGCTCTCGGCTCCATTTAGGAGTGCGAAAAATTGACGATTTAGGCTTAAATACGTCAGCATCCTCAGACTCATCATTTTTGTGATCCATAGGTTTAAGAGTGACACCCTGTTTATTTCTTCCATACTGGCCAGTGTATTCGTCGTTCACACAGTTTTCTGCTCCATCTCTTATCTCGGCCTGTTTTTTGCTCTGCTCCAATTCGCAGCCAAGGATAATTTTATTTATTTCATCTTTTTCTAGTGCAAGTCTACCGAGGGAACTGGTTCTACTCCTTTCCATCATCCTCTCTTCAATATCAAATTCCATTATTTTATCAGATGGAAATATACTAAGTGACATATAAATCCGAACACCCAGTTTAAATGGTTTTATTTTAATAAAAGTTGGTGAATGTATTTATCTTACTGTAAATAACAAGTGAAAAAATGTTCAGCCTTATCAGTTGGACATTCCGGTTTTTATACTGCTTTTTTTTAATTCACTAACGCTCTAAAAATGAATATTTCACCCGCAGTAAAGAATCAACGTTGGCGGATTTTGGTTCTTGACATCCTTTACGATCGATTACGATGCCGGTGCGGAGACCTGTACGATTTCGTCAACTTAGTGAGTTTGATAGGGGCCGTATAGTGGGACTTCGAGAAGCTGGACCTTCTTTTCGGGCAATTGCAGTTAGAGTGCAAAGAAGTGTAGACACTGTGGTTAGGTGTTGTCAGGCATGGCTTCGAGAAGGCCGTACGCAAATTTCCCCCTTAAGGGACCGTTTCTCCACAACCAGGTCCATTGCAAATGAATGGTTTACAGAACACGGAAGACCTATTGGCATGCGAAGTGTTTACCGACGAATGAGAAGTTTTGGCTTGTTTTCATACCGGCCACACTGGGTCCTCCCTTTAACTCGAGAACACCGACGTAATCGCCTTGAGTGGTGCAGACAACGGTCACTCTTGGATCAGGAATGGAACAGTATTGTCTTTAGTGACGAGTCTCGATTTTGTTTAGGCATGCACGATGGTCGTGCCAGGGTTAGAAGGCGACGTGGTGAAAGGAGGAATCCGCAGTTTTCTGTTGAAAGACATGTTCATCACACTGTTGGAGTTATGGTTTGGGGTGCTATAGCTTATGGTTCCAGGTCACCTTTAATCTTCATCAGAGGTAACATGAACGCGCAGCGTTATATCCACGAAGTTCTAGAACCCCATCTTTTACCCTATCTTGACACCCTGGCAGATCCAACTTTCCAACAAGATAATGCCCGACCACATGTTGCAAGAGTTACAATAGACTTCTTTCAACATAATGATGTCACATTGTTACGATGGCCACCAAGATCTCCCGACTTATCCCCAATTGAGCACGTGTCGGATATGATGGGTAGGAGATTGCTCAATTTGCAACGTCCTCCTCAGACTCTAGAAGCACTTCGAGAGGAGTTGGTGGTTGCCTGGAATGAGATACCACAGAAGGACATGGACCACCTGATCAGAAGCATGCCTAGGCGCGTTGGAGGATGCGTAGCACATCAGGGTGCATCCACACATTATTTAAGGTCAAAGGGCTTTAAAGCAGTGCAATCATTTTGAAATTTTTATCATTTACTTATTATGCTTCATTAAGTACTTATACAAAATTTTATTAAAATAAAACCATTTAAACTAGGTGTTCGGATTTATATGTCACTTAGTATATATGCACACCTTCCCACTTCCACTGCCCCGATACTACTAGATTATTCACTAGATCCACAATTATACCAATTAATAAAAAAGAAAAAACTAATAGCAACTAAAAACACGTCCGTTTGCTACCAAGTACTAATGTCTCTGATATTCTGAAAGTCCCTATTGGGAATAACAATGTTTCTTGAGGAACATAAATCACTACGAATAGTTGCATTTTTTAGAGATTTGAAACCAGAAAATGTTTTGTTTGATGAAAACTGGCATATCTTGATAACTGACTTTGGAAGTGCCAAGATATTGAAAACGGATAATACAGAGAACCAGAAATGTGATAATGATGCATTAGATAAAGGGGACAAAAGAAGACGAACTAGTTTTGTAGGTAAGTATTTTCTGTTTTCTCACAAAATACAATTGTAGATCATATAGTGTTTAAAGTGAGATGATGCGGAAAAAGGGTGCCCGCGTTATTGGCAGATCGTACAGATTACCTGACTTGTGGATTGATATCCCCCACTACATATGCTTCCCACTCAATTAAAAACCAAGATGCTACATATGCTTCCCATTCTTTCATCATAATCGCTTTAATAGAATACAGGCTCCCTAGAAAATAAGGATTTAGTGACAGGTCTGTGTAATAGTATTTTTTCTTCAGTCATTGATCTGTATAACAACCGCCAAATAAATTAACAGGAATTTGATTTCACTTTGTTAGATCATACCAATTTCGAGTAGGAAACTTTAGGGTGACTTCATTGAGGTACTCTCAAGTGTACTTGTGAGGACAACTAAGAATATGAATAAGAAGTCTCAATCTAAGTTCTGTTAACAGAATTGTATACCTAACAACAACAACATTGAAAAATGCAAGATATTTGAGATAAACCAAACCTATTGAGTACGCCCAAAAAACGAATGAATGTCAAATCAATTAAACTACTTGCAAATGTTTTTATTGGATAAATAGTGATAATTATGCTCAACTAGCTCGAATCACCACAACTATTCAGAAAAATCGAGTAAATCGGCATTTCCTCCATTGTTGCTCCTTGATAGAATGTTTCATCACCTCCCAAAATCAGGAATTAAGAAGAATTGTTCATATGCTGTACGTTTCGTTTCTTTCCCTTATTTAGTTTATCCCTGTTTATTAATGATAACGTGAGTTCACCCAGTACGAGTAGCTACTTGAATATACTATCCAGAGAAAATAATGTACGCCGATGTATTAGCTTGTACCTTTGGCAGGCAATGGTAGGCAAATTAGCAAAAAGTATGCACAATAACTACATAATTTTGGTTACAAACAATGCAATGTAAACATGTAGGCTTGGCTCTTTTTCTATTCGTATTCGTTGGGTAACCCTGATTGGACGAAAATTGTTTTCTGCGTAAAGGGAGTGCATAGATTCCTAGTTTTGATCGATTGTAGCGCATATCGACCTATATTTTGGTCTTAAACGTTTGACAAAAAACAGGTATAGAAAAATGGATTTGGTTCTCAAAAAACGAACCGTCCAAGCCAACTCAGTCACTGGAGGAAATTCGCGCCTCAAGGCGCGTCAAAAATTTGGTGATTTTGTTTGCTATGGAGCAAACATCGCATAACGCATCTCAAGAAACAATCAACTCAAAATCGAAGCAATAAGAATTACCAACCCTTTGCTTCGTACCGCTCCAGTGGACGAGCTCTAATTAGATTATGTGTAAAGGACCTCAGCGGAAGAATTTCTCTTTTTTGTCAAGGAAGATATATTCGTTCTTACTAAAATTGCACCCCGTCGGTTCTTCGTTAAATTCTCATATTTGTGTTTGACTAAGCCAAATAATTTCATCTAATATTCTTCATACTTAAAGGTACTGCACAGTTTGTAAGCCCCGAGATGCTGAGCGAATCCTCGTCATCTCCCGCGTCTGACCTTTGGGCGCTGGGGTGCATCATATACCAGATGGTTTCGGGAGTGATGCCTTTTAGGGGACGAAGTGAGTTTCTGATATTCCAGAAGATACTTAACTTGGAGTATGAATATCCTGATGGATTTGACCCGCAAGCTAAGGATTTGGTACAGAAGCTGCTTGTCAAAAATCCTATTGAGAGGTTAGGTGCTACTGATGAGGCGCCTTATACAAGTATACGGTAAGTTTTTTTCATGTTGTTGTGAATGGCAAAATATGCGCATGTTTCTATAGTTGTAGTCACCGTTCTTGGCGGTTACGTCATCAACGCCATATGAAATAAGTCTGCGCAGACTAATCTTCAGCGCATCTGCTACTCTCTCCAGTACGCATGAAGTGGATAATAGGCTGTTTCCATTCTATTCCTGGAAATACTCTAATAAATTTAGCACGAGTTGTCGGAATTCTCCATTGGTCGTATTTCTGGGCATTGTACAATTTTATATCGAAGATTGATAACAGGTTAACACACAGGGGTAGGTTGCATGTGTATGTATGAGGGATATAGAGATATATAAAGGGATACTGGTAATCTTACTTTGACCCACCAAGAATGGTGACTACAAGCATAGACACTGTGTATTGAAACTAGCTGCCACTACTTCGGAACTTACTCATGCCTTTACATGCTATAAATGTGCTGCTTCATCCAAGTGTTTTTTTCAAGATTTCAACATCGCCGCTAGACGGATATCTCACAATTATAATATATTTTTCGCACGTTTGTTGACAAAAATGTGCTTAAATTTTGCACATCAAAAAAAGTCAACTCAAGCCCTGGGTATTTTCGCTGAAGGAATCAGCCAATACGATTTACGGATACTGATATAACGAGTCAAAATGTAAAAGCAGATGATAAAGATAATTTTCCTCACTTTTGACGAAAGTAGAATTGTACAAGTATGGCCAGTTTTTCATACTTGAACCACCTCGAAAGGGGCCTAGGCGTGGATCAACTTATTACTTTAGAGCAGTTGTTTCCAAACTTTCTCATAGACCACTTTAAAAATTTTACTAGTTTTGGTGGACCACATATTTGGCTTCAATTTTGTAATTCGTCACAATATCACTTAATTCTGTTGTTGAAGAATATGATTTGGATATTTAAATTTTGATTATATGCTATCAAGACATTATGGTAATAATAATGATACTAATAACAATAATAATAAATATAATAATAATTTTAATAAATATGATACTAATAATAATAATATTAATAATAATCATCATAGTATATACTTTATATACCTTAAAATGCTGAAAATGGATTTATTTTGATTGATTGGTGGAAAATACTGCTTATCTCGGCGAAAACTGCGTTTTCGGCTTATTTACGGCAAAATACGACTATTCTACACAATAAAACTGCTTATTGATAATTATGACAAAAATAATGATAGTAATAATAATTATAATAGTAATAATAGTAATTAAAATATTAATACTCGTAATATATACTTTATATACGTATACCTTAAATATGCTGAAAATGGGTTTAATTTGATTTTTCGGTTAAGAATATTGCTTATCTCGCCAAAAACAACGTTTTCACCCTACTTACGGCAAAACACGGCTATTCTACATAATAAAATAGCTATAATGATAATTATGGTAATAATAATAATGATAATAATAATAATAATCATCAGTCAACCGCGCTATATTATAAATATACACCATTCCCAGTACTCGAGAATCAGTCGGCCCTATTGTACTGGGACAGGCCAGTCATAACCGATAAAACAGTTGACCATAACCGGCCAGACATACTACTGATCGATAAAAATAAACGGAAAGCATACATAATTGATATCGCAGTTCCACTCACAGTAAACATAATCAGAACCGAATACACCAAGGCTGAAAAGTACCAAAACCTTGCCATTGAAATCAAAAACATTTGGAAACTATCAGAGGTCTGCATAATACCAGTAGTAGTGTCTGTGGAAGGGGCAGTCTCTGTAAATCTCCACTCTCACTTAGAGAAAATCAAAGTTCCAGCGCATTTTATTGCATTGATGCAGAAAGCCGCAATCTTGCAAACATTTCACATAGTTCGCAAGTTCTTCGCAATAGGCTGAGGTGAATTCCTCCCCTGTTGTGTACATACCCCGTGTGTAACGGTGAAAGACCAACCAAAAACGAATAATAATAATAATAATAATAATAATAATACTAAAATTAATAATAATTATAATATAGTATAATAAGTTTTTGCGAGGACAGTCGCTGGCCTTCTTAAAATATTATCTGAAATTATTCTTCTTTACTGTCCAAACAAGATCAATTTCCGTGAACCACTTGGGAAAAACTTAGGAACCTTAATTTTTTTTCTCGCCAGCGTATATCCCCGTTGAGTCTTCCGTGGATCCTTGGAGTCCACTGGGACCACACTTTGGGATTCACTGCTTTAGAGCTTTGCCGCGAAATACGATTGAACTTTAGAGAGCAAGTTTTGTCACTTCTTGTTCATAGGAAAAGTGAAAACAATCGGAATACATTGTTTGAAAGCCAATATTTTGGTATTCTATGCAAAATTAAATTCTCCATTCATAAAAAAAGTCGTACGGGCCACATTTAAGAGGCAAAATACCATACTTTTGATAGTTCAATTCTTGGTGACACTTCGGTATGAGTTCATCTGAATAGTCAAAAAGATCGCTAATCTAGTCTTTATGGAGTCGATCCAAGGTAGCTAGACTATACATATATCATTATATATTTCAGACAACATGAGCTATTCAGAGACTTGAACTGCGACGACTTAGGACCACCGCCGAGGATCTCTGACATTTGTGATAGTATAAAAGACATTGTGATACCTGATGATGTAGAACCTGGTTTAGATAAAGAAAAAGCATCACGATTGCAATTAGATTTGGAGCCTACGCCTACTAGGAAAAAATCTCAAGTAGTCAAGAAAATAACTGATCTTACGGCGGCCGAAATCGAACAAAAACTTGAGGCTCAGAAGAGCAATCCTTATAATAGGTGATTCATTTTTCCTATTAATTGACAGTGTGTCGCAACCACCGACGATATATCTATTTATGGTCGGTTGTCGCAACTAAACATATCATTGATGATTATTTTAGACTCACAAAGTTGACTTCAGATTTGAATATGATATAATTATTATAGATTTGAATACAAGGGACTCGATTTTATTATATAGGTTTTTCATTGTGTAAACTTTGTGTATATCGAATTCTTCCCAGACTTTAGTGGGTAGCAGTAAAACTACTAGTGTTACTTTCATACCTTCATCTCCCTCACACATACATATGCATTATATCTCTCCATGAGCTCACAGACATGTGTGTTTTAGTCTCGTCTCGCGGCCTAGAAAATTTTCTCGTTAGATATGAGTGTTTTATAACTATGCTTGTTAGTGTGACAACTCATTTGTCATGGGTGTGATCTCAATGTGTTTTATACTCCCCATGCCTACTAGTTGGAAACTATTCTAATCGGGTATGTTTTTTGGATGTTATATGACATGTACATTACGAGAAACCATTTCCGTCTGTCTGGCGGTATGCCTGTCCGCTGATCCTATAACCGTCTAACTTGAGAAGTACTGCTCGGATTTTGACGAAATTTTTACATAACGTCACTACTATACCAAGAACAAAAAGCTTTCAGCTTTAGTTTTTGAAAATCGGTACAGTGGCGGCGAAGAAAAAGTCGAAAAACGAAAAAAATATAAAATAAAAATCGCACAAACTTGGTTTGTTGATCGTTTGTAAAAGAATTTGGGGATGGGGGTTCGTTGGAGGGTGGGGAAGGTATATCTTAACTTTTTGATATTAGTACTCGTATACTTATACGCTTCCAACCTTGGTAATTCTATGCACCTATTAGACCTATTTGACACATCATCCAGTTTCCCCTACATTAGCCTTTATAAATACTATCATAAGACGAATCGCGTACCTAACCGCCGGGTCTACTTCTGCTCCCGGCGGCGTGTTCTGCTATTACTGCCGCGCCATAGCATAGTGTTACCTATGCAATGGCCCCGGTGCAACGTCTGACCTGGTTAGACATCGGGAAAAGGCGTCGTTGCCAGATGGACTACCGGTAGGACAGGGAAAGAATTCCATGGACTAATTGTATGGACCTGAGTGACTTAGTTTTTTCTCAGAGGGTCAAGTTTGTGCTGAACATAATCCTTTATGAACCGATAACGACGTTGCGTGGGAAGTGTAGAGTCAGCATAATTGATACCATTTTGTTGATCACCGGTACAAAATATAGCAATGCCACAAATACAATTAATAGACAATGTTGCCGGTTTGTTCTAGATTTTTTGGAATATTCCTACAAAGGGTACTATAAAAGTTTTGCAATACATTCTTCTAAGCACTGGTCTATGCTTAAACCACGCGAGAAGTTATACCAAAAGATCGATACATAATTTTATTATTATTTCTCTAAAGCTCTTATACTAGATTAATAAAATTATTATTCATGAATATTTCTTTTTGGTTCTTTTAGTTTTGTTGAAGGCAACTTGATACTGAAGCAAGGGTTGATAGACAAAAAGAAAGGGCTGTTTGCTAGAAGAAGAATGTTTTTGCTCACTTTCGGTCCTCATTTATACTATGTGGATCCTGTGGCCATGGTACTAAAGGGCGAAATTCCTTGGAGTGAAGATTTGAGAAGTGAGGCGAAGAATTTCAAGACATTCTTTATCCACACAGTAAGTAAAATAATATTTCTTGTAATAAGTTTCGATCTTAATTCCACTACTCTATGAATAAGTAATTTTAGTAGAGGTCCCAGTTGAAAGACTTTTTGACGTACTATAATTGTTGCCGCATTGAGCTACTCACGTAGCCATGAAGGTGTCTAGGGGTTCAATCATACTTAACAAGATACGTTGTGCTTAAAAAAAGTACGTCTTCATGATAACAACAGCTATTTTTTGGTTGAAATGTGTCAGAATTGCTCTGAAAAATATACCGTTTAAGTCGAATTGAAATATTTGTGGTACAATCTTTTGCCGTGTTGTCAAACTTTGGGCAAAAAATGGTTTCAAGTAGGTTAACTCTGAACTTCCTACGTAATTCTGGGCGAAAAGATTTTGTATGTACATCGTGTATCAAAGAATTTTACAAAATTGTCAGGAGTCTCTTGAATGTCAAAAAACGAGCGATTTTTAAATATTTGTTTTTTTTGCGTATAGCCCCGCCGCCATTGTGAAAATTTCATCTAAATTTTTACTTTTCAAGTTATAGACCCACATATTACCAGACAGGCAGACCAAAGGAAATGAAGGACGTGGTTTTTTATATACATATATAGGGTGATTTACAAGTGGCGACCAAAAATGAAACATCATACACAGGACCGCATTTTAAGGGGGTGTCTTCTATGTAACATTATTTTCTCGGGGGCTTCAATAAAAAGATACGAGGTGTTGAAGTTTAAAAATGAAAAACATTTTTTTTAATATCCTCAAAACCCTCAACTGTATTGTATTGTCTACATTCAAAGGTCTACTAAAAATTAACGTGCACCAGTGGCGGGGATTAGTGGCATTATTTTTGCGAATAAAAATAGTACGCCACTGTTTTCCAAATGCGTATCTCTGCCACTGGTGCATGCTAATTTTAGGTTAAATCTTTTGAATATGGAAAATAGTTAGGTAAATCTACATACCAAATTTTAGTTCATTCCAGTTGACGGTTTTGAAGATATTATACTTCAACACCCCATACTTTTTTATAAAGCCCTTGAGGGAAACATGTTACATAGAAATACCGTCCTGTGTATGATGTTTCATTTTTGGTCTCGACTTGTGAATTACCCTATCATCCAAAAAACGTATCCCATTTTCCAATTTTTGCGATTACAATACTTCCTTGTCTGTGGAATGTAAAATGCAGAAGGATACATAAATGCAATCTGTTTTTTTGTTGCAGCCTAATAGGAAATATTATTTAGAGGACCCGGAAGGCTATGCATTGCAGTGGTGCAAGGCAATCGATGAAGTCAAAGCTTACTATCACCCGGAACAGTAAATAGTGCAAATCCAATTTAAATTAATTCAAAATGGCATCTTTAGTTGTATTATTTATTTATAAATTATTTGTATGAGTGTCAATGCAGTATTTAGTCTGTACTGTTATAATTTATTAGTTCTCTCTGTTATTAGATGTATTTATGGAAATATTTTTATTTAATGAAATACTGAATGAAAATATAATAGATATACATAACTTGATGTTTAATTCCCTGATATCCAAACATTTTTATACATTTCTGATATGCCAAATGTTGCTGACATTCTAATTATTATTTTTTGGGTTTATATACTCTGGTACCGAAAATGAAGAGAGCAGTGGAACACACTCCCAGCCACTGGCAAGCGCGGCATTATCCTTGTTAACTCAGGGACGCAGCTCCTGCAGTAACGTAGGATGTTTTTTTTTGTTGCTCTGTTCCGTTTTGTTACTACGGTATAGGAGTATGACAACTTATTCCCACAGACAAACATTCAAGGATTTTGAAATAGCGTGTCAAATATGTGATTAAGACCTTATCAGTTTTTATGCGGTATTGCGGTCTAATCAGCATTGCATCATTCCTACAATTGTGAGAGTGGATGGTCACCTTTAATGCGCCATATGAAAATTTCCATTGGCAACACTTGCTAACCGTCATCTGTCACCATCAGTAACTGGCAACACTGTTTTAAATATGGCGTTTATTGTTGGGTTATTTGTGACATCTGATTGACTTTATGCGACTTTGGACGAGAGTTTATTGTTAAAAAAGACATTTTCGTGTGTATTTTCTCGCGACATTCCTGAAAATACAATAGCTCTTCCGAAAATATGAGAGCCCGTCGCCAAAGGTGAGTGTTTTGATATATGATTAACTTATAGGAATGTTCAAGTAATACACCTACGGTCCCCTACCTGCCACACATGATATTTTAGATTGTTGTATCAGCTGGTTTTTCAAAAGAATTCGACCTTTGGGCACTTCAAACTATTATTCGAACTATAAAAATATCGAAAGTGCCAAACCGGCAGTGTCATGGTTGAATGGGCATGCTCTTTGACAGTTATTCCATAACAGTTGCAAAGTCTGGAGATGGTTTATTTACGTTTTTTATTCATGTATATATATACATGTATAATATTGTTGCGAAACCGGCTTGGTATTGAATGTATTGACAAAAAATAACAATTACCCTTGTTTATATTTTATTCAAGATAGCATTCTTACATTATTGATGATCGAATGTAACAACAACTATATCGACAGTTGATATAAAAAAAGTAGCAGCATGCAGTAATTTATCACAAAATATATTAAACAAAACCCTATTATTTTTAGGAACAGGTGCTGACCTCTTAGTTTCACAATATTTAGCACCTGTTGTCTTTTGGACAGGAAAATCAAAAAACATAGGGTTATTGTCATAATATAATGTATAATACTAATGAATAAGTAATTACATGTTTGCTGGACTCAAGTGATAATTATGTGAAGGTGTTGAAAGAAAGCTGATTCTAATTTATTGTTAGAATTGTCCTCACTTGTTTTTCCAATAACAAAGGGACATTTAGATGTTGAATGCATATATTCTATACTGCTTCTGAGTTTTTAATTATACAACCAGCATCAGATAAAAATTGCTGTGCTTGTGCCCAATTCAGCAAGTATTGGGGCTTTTCCCCCTTATTATGTGTTGAATACACCAATTGATTTTGTTCCTGGTTTTCCTTATGATTTCTCCATGTTTGTGTTTGACCAGATGAATAAATCACAATCTTCAGTTAACTTAAATCCTGGTATGATTCTATCAAGTTTAAAAAGTATAAAGCTAAAGAAAAATAAAAAAGTTGTACTGCATTTCTACATAAGCAGCAAAACTCTACATGGTGTTCAGAATGCAAAAAAAAAGAATTGTCTAATAAGAATGATAACTTTTCGTATCTGACAAATGAATTATCAAGAAATGCAGTGATGAAAAAAAATTATTTGAGAGTTTGATCTACTATATTTATGTCTTAAATAGTGCTCATGCAGAAATGTCCTTTATAACTTTTAATGAATGATTGAATTTAATAATACCAATTGTTGTTTACCTCATGCCTTAATTTACACGGCATGCTTATTATGAAGAAGAGCTCTAGGAAGCAAATATTGATAGATGACAGCTGGCTTAAGAACCAGCTATGCTCAGTGATAAGTCTGCAGAAAAAATACATAATACTGTTTTTGAAGGAAGTATTGATTAGTTAGATAGCCTCAGGATTCCATCAAGTATTGACATCTTAGTTGTGGTAGCAGCACTTCAGATATGTGGATAGTTTCCCAGACCTGGTAATCTGTTTGGATCTTATTGGTGTAAGAAGTTTTCATGAGTATCCATCATGGTAGAATGACAGCTGGTTATCTAGTAACTCTTCAAAATTCCCCATAGTGACACAGGACACATAATTCTACCGGATCTGTCAATGCCAGGTAGACAGAGCCATATTTTGTTTTGGTTTTTTGTACGCTACACATTCATTTTGTACTTGTTAACAGCTCTTTTATTTAGAAAAGTTCATTTGCATACAAAAAACAGAAGGCCACAAACAAGTTTCACCAGATTTATACCTGATTTATTATTGCCAATGTTGCAGACTAACACAAAAATGTCACTTGCTGATCAGCTGTTCACCTCAGTAGCATGATGGATACTCATGAAATAGGGTATAGATGGTGTAAAGTGTTTCCTGGCCTTAAAATGATAACCTAATACTTTTTATATGCTATACTAGCCTAAACCAGCAGCTTTGCCCATGTGGAAGTAGTATAGGTCATTCATTTTTTTAATTGGTGTGAAGAGATATGTTTCTGAAAAAGAAATGCAATATACAAAGTACAGGTAATGCAGTAATTACTCTGGCAATGGACATTTGTTATATATATATTTAAAGCTGGTGTGTACTATAATATATCTCTGTACCAAATTTCATCCAGATCTGTTTAGCCATTTTGGTGTGATTGAGTAACAAATATTCTCATTTATAATATTATTAGGAATTGTGTATTAAGACAAAATTTCCTTAGCTCAGATAACTAACAAGTCAGAAAGCAATAAGGAATGTGTTGCAAATTCGTAAAGAACTTACTCAGATACTGATATTGAGTCTTTTTCATGGATGCCAAAGGTCTGATATTCTGCTGAAATTATTCCCAAACTATCAGCAGTTCATGTCACAATTTTTATTCATTAACTATGATATCACCCTTGCATATTATGAAGGTGCATTTGGAATGGGTCAAGTAGTCTGGGGAATCACTACCTATTTGATTCATACAAAACAAAATAGAACAGCTATTTGAATTCCAAATCAGTGTAAACAATATATAAACACTTTGGCATGTAATCTATTTGACCGTTAGTATAGGTTCTAATACTAATTAACTATACCTGTGAAATAAACATTTAAAAATAAACAGTTTTAAAAATAACCCGAGAAATTAAATAAAATTACATCCTCAGTATTTGTTATAAAGAATAAGCATCCTGCATAGCTTGAAGCACAGTTTATAGTCATTAGATGTGGAAAAGGAAATTCAAGGCCAACAAGTGGATAAATCTAGTGCATCTGTATTTTAAATATTCTGGATTAGTTGTACAAACAGATGGATTGTTGCTTTGTGGATGTAACAAAGCCTTGTGTTGCTTTGCACTTTTTTGTGCCGTGGGAATTAAAATTGAATGTATTTTCAAACAGATGTGATACAATATAAAGTGCTATTAATCACTCTTTCTTTTGAATTGGAATGAAGTAATTATCACATACCAATTTCAATTTCTTGTCAAACAGACTGATTCCTAATTAAGCACCTCAGAAGCGGACTTTTCATGATGTGATGTCCCCTTATTTGTATGAAATTGTTGATACCCACATTTTTCATCGACTACTGGCTCGCAGAGCGAAAATCCAGGCACAAAATCCATCTGGTAGGCATCCCATCACAACCCCTGTAATGCAGTAGTACAGTTATCCTCCAATTCCGGATTCTCTTTTAGCAATTGGGTACTATTAGAAACTAGGTTCGGCAAGATTTTCTTCACCTCTTCCTCGTCCCGCTTGAACAGACGGGAAACTCCCGCTGATTATCAGGGAAGAATAAATAACATGATCACATATCTGTACCGGGACTTTTAATGGCGATTTTAGAAAGCTGAAAATAGTTTCCAGCAATTTCTCTTGGCCTCATTTGTTATGAAATTTTTTAACCGATGGCTCTGGGTTGAGTTTCCGGGGATAGAGCCAGGCGTCCTCTATTGATGGCCCACCCGGTATAAACCGACAGATTATTATCATACCTCCAATATCGGAGACACGTCACGCTTATACAGTATTAATATCTGACGCGCTCGAGTAAATTAAGTAATGAGCCTGCCAATTTGGTATTATTATTTGGTATTGGTATTGGTATTATTATTTCAGTCGTATTTGTCTGATCGCAAACTATATGTGGATTTTAACGGTGGTAAATCAATTCACTTTTTTCCATCTACTGGCATCCCACAAGGATCTTCCTTAGGTCCACTACTATTCGTCATTTTTATTAATGACTTAGTTAATACGATTGACTGCAATATTCTGCTCTACGCGGACGACGTAAAACTGTACTGGCAAATTGATGATCCATCTAGTTGCTTTTATTTACAAAGGAATCTTGACAGACTGTCTGAGTGGTGTGCTGCTAATAAACTTCCTATCAACGTGAGCAAATGTAAATCTTTAACTTTCACTAGGAGAGTAAATTCAATTACCAATAGTTATAAAATTAACAACACTCCTCTTCAGACTTTAGAGGAGTTCAGGGACCTAGGAGTAATATTTGACAGGACATTGAGCTTCACTGCACACCTAACTAATTTAGTGAATTCTGCCAACAAAGCACTGGGATTCGTTATACGCAATTCAAGAGAGTTTATCGGTACCACAGCACCTACAGTGCTGTACAATTCGTTTGTTCTTTCTAAGCTGGAATACGGAAGAACAATCTGGAACCCATGCTATGTTACCTCATGTGACTCATTGGAAAAAATTCAGAGGAAGCTCTTGAAGTATTTATCTCTCAAAACTGATGGCATTTATCCTCCCATTGGGATTTCACAAAATAACTTACTTCAAAAGCATAGGTTTCTCAGCTTTGATGATAGAAGAAAGCTACAATCTTTAGTCTTTTTGTTCAAAGTTATAAATTACCAACATGACTGTCCATCATTTTTGTCTAAGCTAACTTTCAATACACCTAGAGTACGAACAAGGGCCAACCTTGCCTTTTACCTACCTACCCCACGAACGAATCTACTGCTGCAGTCACCGCTACATTCGATATGCTCATGTTATACTGACTATATGAATTATTTTGATATCTTCAACACATCCATTTCTATTATTAAGAGAGTATTTAAAGCGGTAGTTTTTTTAGAGCTACCACAGTTTGATTGAGCTATGATCAGTGGTAGCTTTTCATGGGTTCTTATTGGTAATTACTAAGCAATCAATGCAATTAGTTTATTTTGTGATTTTTATATATATGTATTGTATTTCCCACCAGTAATTGGTTTATAAACTGTTGGTGGTGTAATTAAATAAATAAATAAACATAGCGTTCGATCAGCAGCCCTGGAGGCGCCGGGCTTGGAGGAGAGACGGGAACATGTGATCCGCCTTCAGTACAAGTTTGAACTCGTTCGAGGTTTTCAGTGGCACTAGTTCAGCGTGTGACACGGCACACGTTGCGGTGCAAATTTGTAATATAGACGTGGTAGTTAGTAGTAGGGGTGGGGAGGCGAGGCCAGGCAAGTAGGTCACTTTTGGCCCTTTTGGTCAACCGCGAGTGTACCAACACTGTACTCCACAGTTGAGTTCACTAATCTGTCTAACCTTCCCGATCTTAGACCTTAGACGGGGCAATAGTCCAGAAAGTGGAACGCTGATTCGTCCTCCCTGCACTTGGGGCAGGTTGGATCTCTCTTCACCCTTTAGTGTTTCTCTATCTCTGCCCAGTGGCCAGCGCGTCCGACGTTTGTCGGGGCCAACTACGAACCTCTTGGTCTGTCTGCAGTCATCTCTATCTCTGGTCAAACTTTTCCCAGGTCCCTATACACCCATTCATTCAGGGCGCTATTGATCTGGTTCCTGCTTATGACCAGCAGAGTCTCGGGACCGAAGCAGGTGCATCTGGCCAACCAGTCTAGCCAGGCGACCAGCTTTCTCATTCAGGGCTGCTTGACTGTCGGAGCATATGAATATGCTCCTTTCGGTGCATTGCCGAATTTCTTCTGAGTATGCCACCATCGAATGGTAAATATCTCTGCCTGGAAGATTGTTGTGCAGGTTCCAAGCATAATGGAGACGTACTTTTATATGTGATTTTTTCAGATAATGATTATGATGCCGATAATATTTTGCGATCTAAAAAGAAGTCCAGGATTAGGCTGACAAAATTAATGATAATCGATAATTCATGATGTAATGCGAATTTCCACGGATTTTTTGATAGTTTTAGGGCTTCCCACTACGATAGTTGACCACCGTGTATATAGGATAGTTTTGGAATACCTCAGCAATGACGCCTATTCGCCGAGACGGACGCCTGGACTCGTGCCGGTCCGCCTTCGGGCGCCGAGCGGCGTCGCGATGTTACTTATCGTGTTGCCGGACTGTGACAAAAAAGCTAAATTTAAATACTTCAGAAATGTGATTAAGAAAAGAACCAAGTCGATCACGGAACTTCCGTCCTCCGTTTGTAATTTTCGACACGCTTTTTTATAATACCAGTATCATGCTTACATATGTATCCAAGGTGTCCCACGTAGAACTGCAGCGACCGATAACATTCATATACCGAACCAATTTCTCCACGAATTTTTTTATATATTTACCAACAAACTAATCCAGTTTTGAATTCTCTTAGCTGGTGCTCGCCATCCTGATAATAGTCCAAAGAAACACCTTTTGAACGTTTTCTCATGTTTTGGAAACAGCCTGTATCTACAATCAGTTGATCATTTCCATATAAGATCCTAAATTAGGTGTACTATTTGTAACTACAATTTAACCGGAGCTTCAAAACAGTTTTGTCTGGTCTTTGTCTAAAACACTGCAGATACCTATTTAGCATGTCTAACAACCATTATATCGGATGTTATGATGGCTGAATATTAATTA